GAACCGAGTAAAAATAAATAGTGTCCGATACATGTTTGTGTTCTCATTTATCAATTTTAAAAGTAAATGAATTGTTGTTTCGCAGTTCATTTACGACCATAGATCTTATGAACCCGCAATTAGTCCGGCTTCATATACTTGGTTTTCTTCTAATTTCCGGCATCCATTTTAAGAGCTTTCCGATCCATTTTTAATTCACAACTGATTTGAAAGTCGATTAATTTAAGAAAAATGAACATGAAAAATGTGCGTGATTTATTTTAAGATATTTTTATTTTGTTTATTACTACATTTTTGGACTCTCGAATGTCCACGTGGATTGTGGCTTTCTCTTATTAGAAAAAGCGTGCGCCAATGCTGACCATTTCTGAAAAGGCAAAAAAAGATTAAATTACCGTGCTTTAATGGTTATGTTATCGTTTTGAATGAGGAACCGTAGTCCAGGCGTCAAGCTTGGTTTTCTATTTCTATTATTATTATTTTTAAATAAAAAACCGTTAATTTATTAAAAATAAAAAATATTTAAATTATAATGAAAGTTCACAATTATAATCATAAAATTAAAAATACATAATAAAAAATATTTTCTATAATCTTTAACGTAAGAAATTAATCTCTTAAGATCACACAATGATCATTTAAGAAAAATATTAAAAATCTAATAAAATAAACTCGAATAAAAGTTAGATACAAACAAATTTGACTACATCGACAAACAAACCAAAAAAGGAAATCAAACTATCGAAACAACATCGACAAACCACAAATCAAAATTGAACGATGTGAGAAAACTATTCACAAACACAAATCACGTATCGAAATTCAATATGATGGTTCAAAGCATGAAAGATCCATAATAACAAATGAGTGTCATCTTGATCAGTTGTGATGATGTCAAATCAATACTTGAGAAAAAGGATAATTAAAACAATAATCAAAACGATCGAAAACGTATCAAAATATAGAAAAAATGTGTCATATAAGTAGAGTTATTAAAAATTAAAAACATTAAATTAATGAAACAACATAAGGCGATGGACGACCAACACTAAACTAATGTCGTCGTCGGTTACAAAAATGACAGAAAGGAAAAAAATTTAACGGCAGCACACACCAAAAACAAAAACTAGGGTTTGCAAACAAACTTTCTTTCTTATGGGAATTTCGTTAAGTAAGCCTTAAAAATGCGTTTCGTATTTGTTCTTAATTACAATTAAACGTTTTGATTACTTTATAAAAGAATTAAATAATTTACTGTTTTTACAGAAATTGATATAAAAACTAAAATTACTTTCAAATATAAATATAAAAAATATTGGTGATAATTTCAATTTACGATGACACTGGTGTTTTATATTTATTAAATTTGTAAAGATATTGAATTAATTAATATATCCGATTTTCGTAATTAAGGAAAAAAATATCATACTAAACGCAGTGATCTTTGCTTGGCACGGCAGCCCATTTGTACCCGTTGGATTTCCGTAATATATTAAAAGGCTTTGTTAGGCAGGGCTGACGTGTGGGGAATGGCCCATTGAAAGATAAATTCCAGCCGACGGCCTTCCTGTAAGACAAAACGGCACTAACCTCCGCTCTAATATCTCCCATTTTCCCCAATCGTTATCCTCCACGTATGTATTCTGTGACAGAATATTCGTGACAGGTAGTGGTTAAATCAACACTCTCTCCTACAACTACCACGTATTTCCAAGGGGGAATTTCAACGGGAAGATTTTACCCAATACGCGTTGAAGATTTCATTGAAATTTTCCGATTACGAAGTACTAATACGTCAGGTGGAATTCTCTCTTTTCATTTCCTTTGTGTTTACTTTTCTGTAGATCGTTTCAATTCTATGTTCTCTTTTCAATTATGAAGAAACACAAATTCTTTTATTATATTATGAGATGAAGGTTGTTAGGGTTATGATTTGTTTCTGATATTTTTTATTCTTTTTCTTTAGATCTTTTTAATTCTCCCATATTTGTTTGTTTGGGAAGAAACACAATTTCTTCCGAGAAATTTTGTAGTTGAGGATTCTTAGTTTTAGGTTGTCATTTTTTAAGCTTAATTTCCTAATAAAGCACCATCAATCTGTCGAGAGTTTTTATTTCTGTTCGGATTTAAGGATCTAATACTGGGTAAGGTTACATATATAATTGGTTTATTTACTTTCAATTTTGTTTGCGGATATCTTTTTGATAATTTTATTAGATCTGACTTTAGTTTACGTGTTTATGACTTCGGACGTTAAAGAATTGTTTTTAAATATGTGTGTTTCAGTTTTTTCTTGGACGACCTTAAAGAAAATGAAGGAGATCAAGGAGATCTTCGCTTGCTACCTTGACTTGATTGTTTTCAAACATGTCTCCTTATTTTACTGTTTCACCAGATCTTTTGCATATATTGTCATGATTTTGGTGTAAAATAATTGGTCTTTACCGCGGTCAATCTTTTTTTAATCCAAAAATTCGTCTGATCTAATTTGTAATGAATTTTGATGTTTATGAGGTATTTTGGTAGTTAGATCTGCTGGGTATAGTTTCGAAGAAAGGTTCAACTTAATTTGCCTTCTCATTAGAAACGAGAGGGAGGTTTTCAGAGGAATGCTTTTGTTGTTGTGTGACTTGTCCTGGAACTAATGGTTTGTTGTTGTTATGGAGATTACGGCTTTAAGGCTTCTGTACTTGTAATTATAAAGATGATTACTTATAGAAACTTCTGGGTGTTTTTGTCTATTATAACCCTGGAATTATTAATGTTATTAGTGTTTGGGTTCTGATGATTGAATTTGTTCTTTTATTTTTTGTAGTTAAATACGTCAAGATGAGTCGTCCTCAGGAACCAAATCGCCCTTTCTTCAATTTTGGAAATCCTTCCCGTATGATATCGCCCAAGGGTTCTCAGTTGTCTCCAAGACTTCTTTCTTTATTGAGCACTTTTGAGGCCACCTTATCAGAGAGGCTGGAAAAACTTGTGCCTAAAGATAAGGGTGACATACTCAGCTTGTCATGGATGAAATTGGCAATGGAGTCACTTTCTGAGATTCATTGTGACATAAAGAACCTGATAACTGAGCTTGACCTCCCTGTGACTGATTGGGATGAAAAATGGATGGATGTATACCTGGATATCAGTGTGAAGCTTCTTGATATTAGTAATGCTTTTACCTCTGAGCTTACACGGCTCAACCAAGGCCATCTCATGCTTCAGTATGTCTTACATAAGTTGGAGTCCGACTCCCCAGAGCAGTTCACACGGGCCTCTTCCTCAGTTGATAGCTGGAAAGAGCACATTAGCTCCAAAAACCCCAGAATTGAAACTTGTCGGCCAATCTTGGACAACCTTGTGGAATCACTGAATTTGCCAAAAGTTAAGAACTCTTCAAAAGGAAAGGTGTTGATGCGAGCTATGTATGGAGCTAAGGTGGCAACTACATATATGCAGTGTCTTTGCTGCTGCTTTCTCTGGTTCTTCGAAGCATTTGTTAGATTTAACTGTCCCTAATACACTACCATGGGCACAAGTTTTTTTAGTTGTCCAAACTGCCTTGAATGTAGAAATTAGAAATATATTTTCGTCCGGAAAATTTACAGTTCTAAGAGAACTGGAGGCCGTTGATGCATGTGTCAAGAAATTCTCTCATTTGCTCCAAATTGGAGTGGGTCTTAGTGAAAGGGAGTCATTCAAGAATTCTGTTTCGGATTTGAGAACAACTGAAGAGAAACTAGCACAAGGGCTGGATAATCTTTCAAAGGAAGTAGATATCTTTTTCAAAATAGTTTTGACAGGGCGTGATGCATTGCTTTGTAATCTAAGAAAGGTCGGTGATGCTACCCCGAATTCAATGATAGGAAAAAATGTAAAAGAGCAACTTGTGAGGTGAATCATAGGAATGTAATTAAGTTAAAATGTAAAAGAGCAACCAGTCGACATATACTACTGTTGGGTTACGCTGGTATTTAGTTGTAACGTGGTGTATTATGATAGTAGTCACTTGGTTGTAAATGTATCCTTGTCATTCTATATTATAAGTTATATAAAAGGCTCATATTTCTTTGCAAATGTTCAGTACTTGCTATAAATTTCCATTCGCCTAGGATTTTTCCTACAGTTATTGACACGCATACTGTATGACAATGGATAACTGTTATAAATTCTTAGTGCAGTTATTTCTTCTCAATTTGTAATATTTATGATCCTGCCACAATTGCATTGAATGTTTAGAACATCTACTCTCTGTATGATCAAGGGATATAATGCAGGAATGGCAATACAAACAACAATGGTATGAATTATGAACCTTTATCCAAATACTAATTTCGGATTTGGTGAAATTGACATTGCTGTTCAATGTGAGATTAGATACTACCATGGCGGGAAAAGCGAGAAGACATTTTCTTGGGCTATCTTGTTCTTAACCAGCATGTGGTCATGGACTGGACTTAACTACCGTCCTTCCGATGACCTGGTGGCTAATGGTAACTGGCTTTTCTTTATGTTTTGATTGCACAATAATGCTAGGAGTTCGATGCTCTACCACCATGAACTAGAGTGGTGCAGTGGACACCACCTGAAGTTTGCATAGTTAATCTCAATGTTGTTGATGGTGCTTTCTGCCAAGAAGACGGACTGCCAGGGACAATGAAGGGGTTGTGCACAGACCATCAGAGGATTTGGTGGAGGCCAGTGCTATGCTACTGTGCTGAAGTTCGCCAAATCCAAAGATTTTTGGTGGATTTGTCTTGCTTCATCAACCGTACGAGTAGTCAAGCTGCGCCCTTTGTTGTACTGAACTTTTAGCTTTTGATTTTGATTATCCGGTTGAAATTCAAAGTTATGTAATAAACGGAGCGATGCTATTCACGTTACTAGTTAATAAAATGCGTTTATTTTATGTCAATAGCGCTAAGCCGACCACGATCTCTCTCGATCTACCGAACTTTTGAGGTGGTTTTTAGTTTTAGTTTTTGGTAAAATGCATTTGGATTTATATATTACATGAAATGTGACACTTTCATCAAGTAAATTAAGAGACAGAAACTCGAAAGCTCCCAACTATGAGAGCTCTTTAGTACATATAACTGCCAACTTGGTTTTACTTTGCTAGTATCAGGTCACACGTAATTCGTCCCAAGGGTACAACTTTTGAGCTCCACTTGATCAATGGACAAAGGCTCTGCTGGAAAGTCGCAAGCTGTGAGTTTCTCTGGCCCTTGATCCGGTAGTAGTTCACACGGCCGAGGACTTACTCCACTCGTGATCCCATCGACATCGGTGCAAGTCCACGGTATCTTTTTAGCCTTAGCTGCCATTCCGATCGTGACATTGGATATGCATATTTGAGTAAAAGGGTCTCCTTCAATCCCTTCCAACCTAGCCGCCATCGACACATTATCCGCCACAACGTCTCTATAATTGATCCCTTGAATCACCGGCAACGCATTGGGATCATAGTGATTATCAGCATGTGCTTTGTAGTTTCCCGTCATCCAAAACACCCATTTCATGGTATGCAAAGTCATTCTCTTCACATATATGTCTTTCACGAATCCGCCTCTTCCTCTAGCAGTCTTGATCCTGACCCCGGATTCCGTATGGATGGCGGTGATGTCTTCAGCCCTCACGTCCTGGATTCCACCCGACATCTCGCTTCCCAACGCGATGGCCGCGCTGTAAGGAGAAATGCATGTCAGCCTCCTAATGACCAATTGTTTGGTCGGCATCCCGAATGAAATCCCATATTCATCCCAACCGCTCTTCACTGCTATACAGTCATCCCCAGAAACTATGTAGCTGTCTTCAATTCTAACATTTGTGCAGGAATCTGATCATCAAATTCAAATAAATAAATTGTAATTATACATTAACAGCTTAAATTTCTTGAAAATCATTGCTGGCTTGAAACTGAAAAAGCAGTACCTGGATTGATACCATCTGTGTTTGGAGATGTGATAGGAGCAATAATGGTAATGCCTTGTACAAGAATGTTACTGCATCAAATAATGAAGAAAAAAAATACAAAGGTCAATTAATCCTGTCCCTCTATAATATGTCCTTTTGACACGTGGACGGATGTGATTGAAGATACCTGCTATAAACTGGATGAACATTCCATGATGGAGAGTTGAGAAGAGTTGCATTTGAAATTTGGATATTGTCGGAGTACATGAATTCGATCAGGTAAGGTCGGGTGTATTTCAGTTTTCCCTTGTGGAAACTTTGCCACCAGAATGCACCTTGACCGTCGATTGTACCATTGGCCCCTGATAATTACAACATAAAACAGATTTATTATTGTAAAATGAATGCTGATATATATACAAACACAGTTCAAGAATCTACCTGTAACAATGACATCAGTGAGATTAGTTCCAAATATAAGGCTGGCAAACCTTCCACCGGCTGCATCCCTTCCTCGACCGTACGACGGTAAAGCCTTCAAAACCGGCCATTCGCTCATGTCCTAAACCAGTTCATCAGCCATAACAGTCAGTAAAGGTAGATATTAACCATTTATAACTTCCAATTTACAAGCTTCGAATGTCGCGACCGGCGGACCGACGACATGAAATTCAATGTAGGGAAACAAACCTGAGAAGCCAAGAGAACAGCATCTTTGTGAAGATAGAGAGTGAAATGGCTGGTGAGGCTAAAGCTCCCAGTTAGCCATTGTCCAGCAGGAACATAGAGCAGAGCACCGCCATCGGATGCATACTGGCTCAGATGATTAACTGCATCAAGAAATGCTTTGGTGTTCGATGTTTTACCGTCACCGATTCCGCCGAAATCCGTTATCAATGCAGAGTGTCCTCTGCAACTAATAGCGTTGTACTCAAAGGACTCCAATACCCTTCCTTTCCTGGCCTCAGCTCCCAATATTAATGCCACTAACACAAGGACCATGGACATACTGATTACCTGCAAGATCAACAAGGCAAAGTAATACACATTGACTGTCAAGGAACATGAAATAGTTTGGTAACAAAACCAGAAAATCATTTGTTTTTGTTTGTAAATGGAGGGACTCAATCTTACCAACTCCATTGTTGGAAAATGATTCTGTGATATGAGAAGAGAGACAAATGTGTAATATATATAACGTGGAGGTAGCACTCTTGTATACAAAGGGCATTATGTGAGAGTGCGACTTTCTTTACACTATTTCTTTAATCTTGTGGACAAAAATAGGAGTTGTATTTTTTTTCTGCTTGGCTGGTAGTGTTGGAGAGTGGGTGAGTGAATGGGTCCACTTAATGGGTCATTTAGGTCACTTTTCTTGGAGTTAGCGTAAAATATTTTGATCTCGTGAGCATGTTGGCACTCTTGCCTCTACCCCCACCACCATTGCCGACCCATTCACGGGTAAATATATGATAATGAAAGTAGGCCGATCCATTCAACCAAGATAGCGGTTACAATAATTGTCTCCGGAAAATTTAATTTTTTTTATATAATTTAAGAATTTTTTTGTATTTTATATTTCCATGTATTCACCCTCATTTCCATCACATTTATCTAGAATGTACAATCTTTTTAGTTTCTACCATAACTAGAATTAGGATTTAGGAGGTGTCTCGTGCTTGATCATCACCTTGAAATGGTTTCACCTATAGAGATCAGCAAGAGAGAATAAATAGAAGAAAGAGTGGGGCCGGGGTGCATTTATGGTTGAAAAATAATAAGGTTTTGGCCACTTGTTAGAAAATGTATGAATGTGAAAAAGTGAAGTTCACATGAGTCCCATTCTATTGCAAGACATATGCTTGCAGTTTTCCTTTTCGGCTCCACTATGACCGTATCCATTCTTGTGAGGCATTGGGTGAAGCACTATCCCTTACCCATGCGCTCTCTTCTCAAAAAATAATATCCCTTTATTATCCGATAACGAAGTCCAGAGTCTGAAATGAAAGAAAAACCAAACACACCAGTGTGTAGTACAACACTCAACTTCCCAAATTCAATTATCATATACTTCACGTGAGCCAGTCAGGTTCGGAGTTTGGTGTTTTCTTAGCCCTAATCCACATACTAGGCTAGGATATCGTTTGAATGTCTGTAATCAGTAGTCACTGTCTTTATTGACTTACCAGGCAATTGTTCTCTTTCAGTATTAATCAAATTAATAGCATATAACTAAACAAAAAAAAATCAAGATTTTACAGTAAATTGGACATAAAAGTGAGATAGTAGATAGTTGAAGAGACGAGGATTTGGTCTAAACTATTTATATTTTTTAATTTTTTTAAATATACATTTTTAGATTCATAGTTTTTTTTAATTATTTTGCACTTTGATAGTAAGAAGTTATCATACAATTCTGTCTTCGTGTGTTTTGTTTAAGATTTAGAATTTACGAGTTTTAAATAAAGTACATGACAATAATACCCTCTCATTGAGTAATTCTTCTACACTGCTAGTTATTTTAATATGTGTGATTATTATTTCATTCACTTGCAATAGAAAATATATGTTCCATAAGCATATTTATTTGAATGTCATCTTACAAATTTAAATAAATTTTAAAACATATTTGTTAAACTCTAAACTTAAACTCTAAATCGTAATTCTTAAACATACACTTAAATTCTAAACTTTAAACCCTAAAAACTAAAACTCTAGTCTTGAGCAGGACGCATGGAAGCATTAGAATCCCACTTGTGGAAAAAATTTCCGCCCCACTTACACAGCATAAAACTTAAAACTTTTTCACATATTTTAGATTGTTTGGTTAATTGAATTAAACGGCTAAGATTAAATATTTAACTAAGAATAATCCACTTCATTTTCATTAAAATCTCCTCATTTGTTACTATTGATCTTATTCATCTATTTTTACTAACCCAACAATTCAAAATATATAAAACTTTCAAATTTTAGGTTGTGTAACAAATCCTACCTCACATATATACAAATATATGATTGAAATTAACAGTAAAAATGATAATATTTTTACATTACAAAAATAAATTTTCTTAAAATTTAATTTTTTTTAATCTTAATCAATAATCCAAAAACATGTAATGATTAAATGTTTTGCACTGTATAAGTCAAATCTAACTTTATATATATATATAAAAGGTAAAATGCATTATTTCAGTTTCTTTGGTGTATTTTTGAGCCAATAAAACGGATCCAATTGTTTTTGCAACCCAAGCTAATTAAAATTTATTAAAAAGGGGCCTAAATTTGGTTAGACTTAGGAATGTATGTTGAGTTACATGCCCAAACAAATGTACATAGGACAAGTCCAGTGCACCACACAGGGAATCTAACTTGGATCATTCACAGTTCACTTACATAAAGTTAATCACAACTTGCCATTTAAAACAGGTTAGTTTTATTTGATATTTCCCATGGCTGATAAACAGGCTGATTTTGTGGGATAACGCGGTGAGAAAAACAATACTTCGTCGGATAATGTTGTGGAGAGATTATTTGTTCGAATGAAGTGAATACTACAGTCTAGCCCGGAGACGTATTACCCTCCCGACATCCATACCTTGCGCCAACGGTGACGCATTGTCGTCCATGCGTCTATGGAGCCACCCCTCGGAGACGCCATGGAGTCTAGGCATCTCCCACCCACCCGATGCCAACCCCTCGGAGACGCCTTGGAGTCTAGGCGTCTCCCACCCCCAAAAATCCGAAGACGCCATGCACTCCATACGTCTCTTCTACTGCATGACCGATGCACCAATCACGTAGATGTAGGCTGGTAGCTGACATTCGAGATTGTAACTGATATTCAAATGATAAAAGCTTAACTCATATCACTATCCTAACTCATACCCTGTAATAACAAGTTGAGCACAAAGAAAGAATTTCTTTTAGCTATATATATGCAAGAATGAAATTGGGAGTGATCATCTAAAGCTAAAGATAGGAGCAACAATTGCAATTGATAGATGAAGCAATTACAAAGAAAATTAATAGAAGGAGCATTTCAGATAGTTTGGGGTGTGTTTTTTCTTTCGTTATTCTAACTTGATTATGTATTATATGGTAAATTGGTTTAAATTTATATTATTTTGTTTGAAATTAGTCCAATAGTTTGTTTGTTTTTTTGCTGAAAAAACGGTGAATTAAGTTTGAAGAAATTTTATTTGATGTATTTTACTATTGATTATTATATTAATATTATTTTTATAAATATTTGTTAAATTTACTATTGTTGTTATGTTAATATTATTTTTATACTGTATAATATCATTTTTACGATTTATGATCATAGTGTACCATAATTTTTATTCTAAATACAACTTTTGAATTTGTAGAGAAAATAAGCAACAACTTTTTCACGATAATGGACATATTATGAAAATTAGGTCGAAGTTGTTTTTCAGTCTGAAAGGCCTATAAATATGATGTTCAGAAGGGACTTCACATTTGTAGAAATGCAACAGATGATAGAAAGGAAAATTCGAGCTACAATTGATGGTTTGAAGTACATGTTTATGATATGTCACAATCCAGTTAGATATGTTGCAGTACCAGTTGAAGAAGATGATGATATTGGAACTGTGATTGGATTACATAACATGAGTAAACAAATATTGCAGTTATTGAGTTATTTGTTGATGTACGTAAGATATCTGATGTTCTTGGGTCATAAAAAATGTGCCTAAAAATTCATCTCAAATGGCTTTCAGAAGTGAGTTTAAGGACCCGATATACAGATCGATAAACAGTTTTATAGCGCTATTGGAAAGTGAAAATAAAGTCGATGAAACATCTGCAACAGTAGAGTATGAGGAGAGAAACATATATCATTCGAAATTGATTGTTGATGCTGAAAATCGATGGAGAGAAATCCATGATGATTCCAACGAAGATGAAGAAACTAAGGAACCCATTTTGGCCGACGATGATAATTTTTGTTGTAGTGGTGCACCTACTCTGACCGTATCAACCTATCCCTCACATGTATGAGATAGACTATGATGCGATGAGGGCACCATAATTCCCAGACATACCACATATACCTCCATACCACATGGCTGAATCATTCAAAAATTCTAATGAATTTTCGGTTGGGATGCAATTTAGAGGAAAAAATGAAGCTAGTTAGCGATTAAAGAGTATTGCATTAAATGCCATGTTGATGTCCATATTGTAGAGTCCAACCTAAAAACCATATATGCGAACTGTGTTAAATATGACCCAAAGTGCAAGTGGAAGATCAAAATGTCCAAAATTCATAGGCACGATGCATGGGTCATCACAAGGTATAATAATCCTCACACATGTTTGTGAAACTCAATCGAACAAGACCACCGACTATTGGACTCCGATGTAATATGCAAATACGTGAAGGTGTTGGTTGAAACCTTTGTTCAATGTTAGTTGCATCTATTTGCAGCCAATTTGGATAATAAGTAAAATACGACAAGGTTTGGAATGTGAAAATGAAGGCAATAAAGTTGACATATAGAGATTGGGATACATTGTACAATGAGTTACCACATTTGTTACAACCAATGAAGCGATTCATTCTGAGAACCATAGTTAACTCTCAAACTATACATGCATATGACGAAGAAGGTCAACTTGTTCCAGTGAAGAAAATATTTCATAAACTCTTTTGGGCATTCAAGTCATGCATAAAAGAATTTCCATTTTGAAAACATATGGTCCAAGTAGATGTTACATGGTTGTATGGTCAATATAAGCATGTATCGTTGATGACAGTTGCGCAAGATGGTGAACAAAATATCTTCCCAATTGCATTCGCCATTGTTGAAGGAGAGACAACAGAGGCAAGAGATTTCTTTTTGACCAATCTACGTCAATATGTCATTCGAGAAGATGGAGTTTGCTTGATATCCGTTCGAGGAACATGCATTTTGGCTGCAATTGAATGGCTAGGAAGTCGTTGGATGTATCCGCATGCATATCCCACATTTTGCATACGCCATATTGGTAAGAATAATATCGATCGGTTTCATAACGCCCGCATTCGTAACGAGTTCGTTAGCATGGGTAAGTTTTATTTTCAAATGTGTGTATTGATTTATGTGATTTTTTAATTGAGGTTTAACACAATATATATATTATGAAACATGATACGAACTACGTCGACCAAATTTTGATAAGAGGTTGGAGAATTTGAAGGTATTTTATGATAATCAGAGTGTTTGGAAGTGTGCTTCAATTATTTGAAGGTATTTTATGATAATCAAAATATGCATGCATGGGCCATGCAGCGTCGTTGTGTATCGCCTGCAAGGCAACCTAACTTGCATGCATGCAGCATGCGGCGTCGTTGGGCGGGAAACGCATGGAAGGTAGTGTGACTTCGAGGGTGGGAGACGCCTGGACCGCACGACGTCTCCGTAGGGTTCGTCGTGGATTGTTCGAAGTTGATAAACGCATGGAAGGCAATGCATCTAAGGCTTAGACGCAAGGAGGGCAATGAAACTCCGGAACACACTACAACAATCACCCTATTCGAAAAAAGAATCTCTCGATAGCATTATCTCAGCCATTATTTTTTCTCACTATATTATTCGAAAATTTTATTCCTGATAAACATATATAACACACTAGAAATTAAGTTGAACGTCCAAATGGAGTAAACTATAAACTATGGGATGTTGAAATGAAGGATTATTTGCTTTCTGAAGGATTATTTGCTTTCGCCTTCAGCAACGCGCTTTTCTTACCTACTCCATCCCTAAAGCTATAAAGAACCCACAACTGTCTTTACCCATCCACATTCGCGTTAACTCAGCTCCTATCCTTTTGACTCGCATCTACTTCCCCATTTTTCCTTCTCATGTTTCTTTGATCAGTGACTTTGTTTTCTCCCATGGAAAATTTACTTGCGACACTGAGTTTCTCTTCTTTCCTTCTTCCTTTTTTGTGATCTCTCTTTATCCTTCTCACCGGTGGACAATTATCTAGTCAATTGTGGCGCCTTCCTGGACTCCACCGTAGACAATCGTCACTTCGTCTCTGATTTGCCCGATTCAGCTCACGCACATCTCTCTTCACCTCACTCGTTCTCACTCTGTGCCGGAACTTCACTGCCGGGTCTGCCTCCGATCTACCACACCGCCAGAGTTCTCAAGGCACAGTCGAAATACGTTTTCGATGTCAAAGATCCAGAGAAACACATTGTGCGTTTCCATTTTCACCGATTCAATACACCACAATTGAATCTCGTTGGCTCTCAATTTCACGTTTTGGTTAATGGGTTGGTAGCTTTGACCAATTTTAGTGGCGGGAATTCCTTGGGTCCTAAGGTTGTAGAATATATGCTTTGCGTTCATTCAGAAAAGCTTGAAATTACTTTCGTTCCTGCTGGGAAATCGAAATTTGCTTTTGTTAATGCAATTGTATTGATATCTGCACCTAAAGATTTGATACCGGAAACTGCTCAGTCTTTGAATGGTGATAATCTCGAGAATTTTGAGGGTTTAAATCAACAAGCATTTGAAGTTGTGCATAGGGTAACTGTAGGATTAAATACCAAAAAGGTGGTGCAAGTCGTGAAGTCGGTCCTGACAACGTAATGATTCGGCTCGGTTGATCGAGAGCAAGAATGCTTCGATTCCTAATGCGAACCTTTCGTGGGAGTTGCCGGTGACTGAGGATTATAAGTATCTTGTCAGGCTCCATTTCTGTGATATTGCTAGTGTATCCCTTGGATTGTTGTTTTTCAATGTTCATGTTAACGGACATTTGGTATATAAGGATTTGGATCCCTCAGCCATTACGAATTACATGTTGGCTTCTCCGTTTTATCTGGATTTTGCGGTCGATGCTGATCATTCTAGTGTTGTGAATGTAGCAGTTGCACCTTCAAACAAGAGCATGGCACACACGGTTGATGCTATCCTGAACGGTGTGGAGATCATGAAGATAAATAATTTGATGGGTAGCTTCGATGGTAAGGTGCCGGCGGAATCAGTTTTGAAGTGTTGGCCAAGAAGAAAAAGTGGTCACATTCTGCTTCCTTTGACTGCTCTTGTGTGTTTGTTGCTGAGCTTATCAGTGTTCATGCGTAGGAGGATCGATAAGGCGGATTCTGTGCCGTGGTCGAAGTTGCCAATGGACGTCCCTGAAACTACTCCAAAGCAATGCAAGCAACAATTGGCAAGCAAAGTATAAATGTTTAAGGATTCACTGGTTTTGTAATATGTAAGTAATCAGTTCGGAATACAGTATACTATTGGTGCTCCCAACATGTTGAAAGATTCTTTTGGGTTTGAATTTGAAGCTTGTGAAGTGCTTTGTGTTTGGTAATCTGTATTTAAGCTGTTTCGACAGTATATAATGTTATTTTGCAATTTGTAATCTGATAATGTTTGTGATTGAATCAGTGATACTGTAATGATTTGTTTAATTCAATGAGCATTTCACCATAAAATCCAACTTCTTTTTACATTTTATTCGAATATTTTTTATGGCGGGTAGAAAGAACTCGCAACCTATAACTTGGAACCAGTTCGTTGGATATGGTTCAAGCCTCTTCCAACGGATAAACCTATGGCAGCCATTTTAGGCCCCAACATCTGGCTATGACTCGGCTCCATAATATCGTCTTTATTCATCGTGTTCCTTATCTTAATCGGGATCGTCACCCGGTTCTACATTTACCCGAGGGATCATTATAAAAACGTATTCTCAACATCTAAGAAAGCTGTGCGAACAGCTTTCACCATAATAGTTTGTCTCTCTGTGTTTCCATAGCTGCAAAATCTAGTGCGGCGGATTTTTGGAACAAGAGACGGTATGTTAGGGAAGCGAAACAAGTGCAGAACATGGAAGGACAAACCCCAGAAGAATCACCAAACATGATCGGTTGTAATGGTGATAGAGAATTGGAAAGCCTCCCTCACCGGTCTCTTACAGAACTTGAGTTACCAAAATTCACTATGGAGGGAGACCCGACTTGAAGAGTTTCTTTTATAATTTGTCTAATGGTATTCACTAGTGCCTGTATTGCAGCAACTAGATTTTACATTGAACCAAGCGTCAGGTTTCTTGCTAGCTGTCCGACGTCGCGACAATCTGCTCGTCCGGTCTGGCAGATAATCTGCATTTTGTGTCTATTAGTTTAAGCTTGTCAGTACTGTTCATAGAGAGGTTTCGGTAGATAAATGACAGAAAAACAGGGAGCAAGCATTTGGTGGTGTTGGAAGGATACATAAATAGAGACGTGTCGAAATCAAAAACCAAAATAGTATATGTATGTATGTGTGTACGTACGTTCGTATGTATGTATTTCGAGTTAGCAAAGGAAAAGTGATAAAAGTAAGTGTGAAGACAGGGACCGAAGAGTGGATGAAAACCAAGATAAGTAGATAAGATTATGATCAAGGTCCCCTGTAGGGTGGGAGGGCAAGCACGGGAGAGACGGTGAAAGAGGACATAAATCTGATCATTCATATGCTTATTGTCGTTTGTAAGATAGGTGACCCAAAACATAAATCAAACATTTTTATTTTTGGTCTACCTTCTAGGTTTGGGTCCCTTGACAAACATATTTGCTTTAAGCTTTAACATTGGTTTTGTCCCTTTTATTTCTTATTTTTTAGGTAACTTTGTATACTCATTTCCAAATCAACAGTACATAAACCAATTACCAAATCAATCAAACTAGTGGCTAACTACAGACGCACCCATTAGACAAACACCAGACTACTAGTTAGAAAACAAACAAATAATCTTGTCCCAACCTTTTATATCAGTTTAAACGACAACAAAGACTGTTCTAAATGACTTATTTAGTCCCTCCATTTATTTATGGTGCACTAGTCACAAAATCCAACAGATCTCGATATTTTCAAGTTCTAATCTATCTTGTCTATAATTCTCTAGCATCCACATGTAATTTTCTTTATCAAATGAATATATAGTCGAATTTCCAAATTTTGATAGAGAAGGGAATTTTTCATTTTAAGCCGAGAAAATTCATTCCCTCAATTAATTCAGTTTAATTTTGGATGGTTTAATAATTTTCTAGCCATGTAATCCGTTTTTGTTAGAGTTGTGCCTCAATTTCTTCTTAGACCAACCCATGACAATCAAAACAATGGTAAATGTGTATGACTTGTAGGGCGGGCAAAGCCCGCTGCAGGTCCACAAGACAGGGTGCAAGGGCCGTAGGGATTAGGGTTTTGCGATGTAATATTTATAATAATATATTTTGTATTTTTTGACATAGTGAAATTTTCTTTTACTCTACTCATGATTTTTTTCTTTTAGGTTTTTCACGTAAATTTTGGTATGTTTTATTTTTATGTTCGACATTATTCGTTTATCGTTAATCATTCTTTTAATTATAACAAATTGTTAGTTATTTTAATAAGTTATCGGTTTTTAAATTTTTTATTACTCTAAGACGGTTACAATATAATATATGTTTATAATTTCCTAACCATTCGACAATGAACACACATTGTAAACACAACTGTTTGAACTCAAGAATTCTAAAGAGAATAACATTCTCTCTTTTTCATAAAAATTATCTAATAAGTTAGATTTTTGAATTTTTAAATTGACCCGATCGGGAAGATAAAAATCGACGTTATATTAATATTTTGGTCAGTTATGAGTTGGGGCATGGATGTGTTGTCCAGTTCAAACGAGGTACGCCCAAGGGTTTTTACTCAACTTTCATTCTAGTTAAAAAAAATTAGTTATAATATCTTTAATTAGGTTAATATATCATTGAAAATAATAAAATCATTTTATATCATTTTAATTGATAATGTCTTTCAAGAATTAAAGCTTTTAATGATATTTAATTAACTAAATCCATTTAAAATAATAAATTAGATTAATATATCATTTTATATTTTTAAATTAATATCAAATCATTTAATTAAGTTGATTATATAAATTATACTTATGAAATATTTTTACCTGATTTAAATCCTATAATAAATCTATGAGGCGGTGATTAAGAAAATAAATGATGGAGGATTGAATGCTGAATTTGCCAATGATGGTTGCTAATTAGTGATTTTGCCCGCGGCTCACTCGTGTACATATTTCCATTTACTTCTAATTTCACCTGCACCCCTTACTAATCCAACATCAACCTCCAATCACAACTATCCATCTCTGTCACAGCCAGTGACCTATAATCACCCACATTATATTAATTTCCATACCAAACCATATAAACGTTCCTCTTCTTCGTCACTTCTATTTTCCCTCTCAACTCTCTCTCTATGATCACGTAAATATTTTCCTTTTTAAAAAGTTCTTCATGGGATTTCCAGTTGGTTATACCGAAACTCTTCGTTCACACTTCACACGCTTTGATTTCTGGGTTTAATCCGCCATGAAATTGTCGCTCTTTTCAGCTACATCGGACTCTCCGATTTCCTCGAAACGGACCCCTCCCGGCAAGATACCCGGACCCGAACAAGACCCGAGAATCCGCCCGTATCGGCCCTCCTGATCCGGGAAATCCTTTCTGTTATAAAGTTCGAGGAGCTCGTCGTCGTGGGAGATCCGCCGGAGAGTTGCGCTGTTTGCTTGTACGAGTTCGAAGGAGGCGAAGACTGAAGAGATTGGGTGGCCGAGGAATTGTAGGTACGTTTTCCATCGGGCGTGTTTGGATCGTTGGATGGACTATGATCAGAAACATGTCCGCTCTGCAGAACACCATTCGAGCCTGACGAGTTGCAGGATGAGTTCAATCAACGACTCTGCGCCGCTTCCGGGGTCGGTGATCTACACAGTGAGTACATTCGGTTCCGGGATTGTAAATTTGCGTTCTTTGTAATAGAGAAAATTGTATATTTTACATTACAATATGGTTTATAATCAAGTTAACTTGCAAGAGAGAGAGAAAAAGTTGTGCAGTTTGAAGGTTACATTAAACAGATGAGTCCAGGTTTTAGTCAAAGCTGCTCAAGTTCTAACCATGGAGTCAAAGAAAATGCACTGATTTTATGCACTTAAAGATTGATTTTATTGAACTTGGATTCTGTGCTTCACCCATCCTTGTTCTAATACTCTGTTACTGTCCCTAAGCTTTAAATCCCCAAGCTGCTCTGTAACATTAAAAACAGTGACATCAAAAAGGAAGTTGCTGTGGGTATTTTAGCAATGGAATGTGAAAATTCAACATCAGTTCCCATGCATATACAGATTGGGGCTTCACTTTCTGTTTCAGTTTTCTTTATCTTGATACTAAAAGAAGAAAGTGAATCAATGGGAAGAAAGATTTTAGCACACAGGCTCGGACTTGGTGCCTAAACTTCAATGCGACAACCATCTATTCGTCTATTTGTTGCCCCCTGCCTTGAAACCAGTGAAAGCAGCTTTGTATTTGCTATTGGGCTCCCTTAAGTTGTGAAGTAATGCTTCAAACAAGTTCAGTTTGGTCCAATATTCTGTGCATAAGCTCAGTCCAACTCCAAACTAAGTTTAATTCTTCGACTTAGATACACGTGAACCGTTGACTTTGAATTCTGGCTAGAGCGGGCATTTTGGTTTTCATTACTCCTGTTGTACCATATCATCTCCGGATCTCTACTACTACATAGAAATCTCCTTTCATTACAATTCCCCCCACAAAATTTTAAATTAAGGGTATGTTTGTTTAGCTGTAATTGGTTTTCCAAAAAATGAATTACTGGAATTTGAATTACTGGAAAATGAATTACTGGAATTTAAATTCTGGAAAATGAATTACATTTCTGTAAAATGAATTACATTTCTGTAAAATGAATTACATTTCTGGAAAATGAATTACATTTCTGGAAAACATCTGGAAAACGTTTTATGATGTTTGGAAGATGTTATTTAAACATTTTTTCGGTATATTTTAGTGAAATAAAATTTTATAAATTATATTAATTATTTATTAAAGTAATAGTACTATATTATATTTTAAAAATATTAATTAGTATATTTTAATATCTTTACTAAAATATTATTGAAATATATAAATAATATTATTCATTATTAAATATAAAAAAAATTTATTATATATTATTAAAATAAAAATATAATATCTTATATTATTATAATATAATTGATTATTTTATATAATATTAAAAATATAATATTATATTATTATAAATATTAATAAATATATTTTAAATATTTTAATAATTAATATTTTGATGAAAATGATATTAAAATATTTTATTAATATTAAATTCATAAAATAAAATTATTTTGAGTATTTTTGCTTTGAAGTGAAAATTTCGGAAAATGACTTACGGAAAATGAATCCGTAAGTCATTTTACAGAAAACACAAAGGAAATTATGTTACTAGGAAAATGAATTACATTCCGGAAAACGAATTACGTGAAACAAACACGGGAAAACGTTTTCCGGAAAACGAATTACGTGAAACAAACACGGGAAAATATTTTCCAGAAAATGAATTACGTGAAACAAACACGGGAATTCGGGGAAAATCAATTCCGTAATTCCAATTACGGGAAACAAACAGACCCTAAGTACAATATAAAAGAAGATATTCATAAAAGATCTCTGATAAATTTAAGTTACTTACAAATATAAAATTTAAAATCTAACCACGATATTTGTCTAATCTGTCAAGCTACTAACAGTTATTATGACTAACACACATTAAAGATCACTATAAATATTCCTCGATAAGACAAGGACAGGGTTGGTACCTCTTTTCTTCTTCCTGATAAGTGATAACCACTCCTCTACTATACAAAAATATCAGGCAACGGTCCTTCCACCTACGACTCTTCGCTCAACCCAATAGGGTGAATCATTCGAGACAGGTAATATCTTTTATTCCATCAACAACTCTAAGTATGACTATGGCTTGAACTTTGTAGTTTCAGCATACAACACTGCAACTGTGACTATGCCCCTTAAATGCTTTTGCACATTACAAAATACAAATCCTTGCAGATTCGAGTGTTATACAAGAAACCTATATTGCCGTATAATAATTTCCTGTTTTCGTTGATTTAAAAAAAAATTCCCTTAGCAAGATTTACAAGTGTGATATCTTGGAACCCAGTCAAAATAATAAAACTCCCAACCGTCGCCGTTTTGAACTTAAATTCTAACTCCAAGGATCCTAGAACGCCACGTCGACAACTAAACAACCCGTTGAAAAAAAAAGAAAGGGGAATTACAAAAAGCACCTTCAGTTTTCACACATTGACAAACACACCCTCGCTTTGGTCCACGCGAGTCACACGCTCCACTGACAAGTTGGCAGAGCAAATTCTAGACTCACCCGCGACAAACCCAACATCATATAAAAAACCAACAAAACTAAATTACTTAATAATCTAAAAACAATTACCATAAAAGAAAAAAGTACAACAAATCTTCGACACATTTTGTTGATCATCATCACATTAGGGACTTTAACGATCTTGCTTTAATAGGCTTCCTCATTCGATTCTTACCACCACTATCTACATTCTCATCGTCCTCCTCCTCGTCATCTACATCGTCGACGATATCAAATTCTTCATTGTTATCGAATTGCGAAGAAGACGACGGAGTCGTATTGTTGACTTGAGTAGTGACAGCGCTGCTGTCGATTTCAATATCTTTACCCTCGATAATAATATTCTTCCTCATTTCGCTGCTGCTTCTGCCGCCTCTCCTCCTCCCCCACAACGGCCCGAACCCGGAGTAATAGTAGAATTCATACGGGTTCGACGACGACGACCCTTTCTTGGATGCCCGGGATCGTCCACGGCGGTTCCCGGCTTTCTTGCTGGGATTATTGCCGTTATCGTGGCTGAAAGATTTTAGTGAACAATCTTGCTTGGATCCCTTTTCTTCATCTTGGCATTGGGTCTGGAACCCGAATTGGTAACCCAGTTTCATCTCGTCTTCATCGTCGATAATCATGCCTCCCACTTTCATAATCAATTTATCTTCACTGTCCATCATCGACGCTACGCTGCGTTTTTCGAGTAACAAACCGCGACATTTTTCAGCACCCCTAGGATAATCAAAAAATGGGTTTTTAATAACTCGCTAACCCATCATCAAATTTGATTAATTATTCGACTATCTTTAGAGGACGAATAAAAAAACCTAATATAATATCACGAATGCAAATAGAATAAAACCAATCGGATCGAAGAAATATGAAGCGGATTACCTCTCGACAGCACTAATAGAATCGCCTAAGCTCCCATTTCCATGAAAGCTATCTTCATATTCGAACTGGGTTTTTTAGAAAAAGAAAGCAATAAACGAAACTAGCAAGCAACTGAAAACTCGAACCAGAAAAATTATACTCAGAAATGACAAACACCCATTAACCTAAATCGACTATTACGAAGAAAATACACGACGAGAAGGAGACAGTTTAGGGTTTAATCGAAACCCTAAATGGGAAAACCCTAAAAGATAAATGAGGGGATATGTAGATGAAAATGTAAGACAAAGAAACATAAAATGGAGGCAAAGGAAGAAGAATGAGCAACTAGATCTACCATGAGGGACGAACCAATTTCTTTTGAAACAACAAATATGAGAAACAAAAGAGTTTTCGTTACCTGGTGATGAAGATACGATGGGCATGGTACTTGAGCGAAAGGAACCACATCCCATGGCGTCTGGTTCATCTCGCACACGTGCACACTCTCGGACCTGGAACCCGTCGGGTTTACCACGGATGATAGCTTCGCATTCTTTCGAATCCTCATACTTTATCGATATCGACCAAAGACAAACCAAATAAATATGAAAAAAAGCAAATTGCAAGAGATGGAGGGGAACTCAAAGAAGGATAAAAGAGAAAATGTGAAAGCCAGGAGATGAAAAATATTTAGATCCAAAAGGGCTTTGGTTTGATAGCATTGTGGTGTTTTTCTGCAGATCTCATTGAACTCGATAATCAGGGTTTTCTTAACTTTCTGTTGCTTTCTCGGCCCTTCATATGTTTCGATTTGTTTTTTCCGTTTTCCAATTTTGTCCTTTGGTTCTTTCTTTATTTTCGGGAAATGGCATCGAGAGGGAAAAAAGCTGCCGCTATTACACGTCATGATAGTTGTCCAAAGTTAATTTTTTTATTCTAATATATTGGGGGCGGGGATGTTAATGATCGCGTTCAGTTGATTCCACAGATGAAATATTTTAGGCGTATTTTAGTCAATTTGAATATGTTTTTAAAGCCATTCATCTTTTTAAGTTGCTAAAATCAAGTGGAATTGGACGGATCGAGGCGGGAGGGGGTGAATAAAACGCGTTGTAACTGGATGTGGGAGGGAGAGAGAAGTGGCGAAAACGTGTGGCCCACAAAAATATGGATTTGATGAATGTACTTTGGTGGGTCCCGGGTTAGATTGGAGGGATGCGATTAAAGGGGCTAAGCTGCTTATAAGTGAAGTGAAAAGCAGAGGATGTGATACCCCCATAAATTTATTTAGTGGTGGGTTATAATATTCGAAAACTATAAATAACAGCCACAGTTATCTGGACAGACCTAACCCCCGACTATACGAGTCGGGCATATCTTCAAAACAATTATACTAATAATAATCTTTTAATCAATATATATATATATATTAGAATTTGAATTAGAGTAATTATATTTATAAGACGTATGTATTGTATCAAATATGTTTGTAAATAAAAAATATTGAATTAAGAGAGCTATCTTTATATTGAACTTTTATAGTATTTGATTTGAATTAAATAATTAATAATTTGATATAAAAAAGATTTTTATTATTAAATATTACAGTGATAGACTGATTTCACATTTTCATTTTAATCGGAGTCTTTACCATAATAATATAGTAAAAAATGGAGTAGATAGTTGAGAAGAAGATAATTGACAAGAAGATCCATTACCAGCCACAAATCAGACAAGAAACTGAGAAAATGAAGAAAGTAGAGAAATGAAAGCATTATCATCCATTTAGAATCCATTATCTGAGATTTGTTTGAGTTGATATACATCCGGTCTAAGCTTTGGGGGTGTGGACATAGAGTAGGGCCAACAATAATTCAACATTATTATCCTGAATCAGTATTGTAGAGGTCTTATATAAAATAATATTTTTAATTTAGTTTGTTTTATTCATAAATACTAAAATCAAATACCTGCTTAAAGAATTTATCATTTCACCTAACTAAATTAATTAGTTGTTGATTTTCTTTTTCTTTTTTTGAATTGCCCTTCCACCGCTTATAAAGATTGAGACAGGCCAAAAAAAATGCAAAAATTTATAAGAAGTTATATATATTTTATTCAAAAATAATAAATAAGTGCAGACTTATTTATGAGTACCAATTAAACAACCAAGTGATACATACGTATAGACTTTATTTTTTAATTAATTACTGATATTTGATTTATTGACTTTATTTTTAATGAATCGTGTTTAAAAAATTATATATAAATAATACAATTTTTTTAAAATTGCATAATCAACCTATAAACTTTCTACTATTTGTTAATTTTCAACTCCCTCTAAGAATCACCTCCGGAAATAGTAGAAAAATCGATTTGTTACTCGGTTTCCAGCTTGATTCTAAGAATTCCCCTTCATTTGTTGTATAATTGGGCATTGTAATTGGGTTGAGCAACTTGGTGGATATGATACTTTTGCTATTTGAAGCTTCAATTACCCAGAAACCCAGATCAGGTCTTTTGATATGCGTCACATAAGAGGTATGGGAAATTATTATATTCGGTCTTCTTAATTATTCAATTTATCATTTTGGGTTAAATTTTTGAAGTTGTTTGTTGGCGGACTGCTCTCAATTTGTCAAAATTTACGCTTCACCAATACATGAATGAAATGTTTTAGGGTAAACTACATGTTTAGTATTTACACTATTACTTTTGTTCTATTTTGGTATCCAAACTTTATTTTATTTTAAAATCATATCTAATTTTAGTTTAAGTTTCATTTTGGTATCCCACCGTTAAAAACTTAATGGTTTTGTTGACATGTCATGACCATAAGGTAATGTCACGTCATCATTGAAAAAAAAATCACTTCGATAGTTCTGTTAATTTTTTAACGGCGGAGTGCCGGATTCAAAACCTAAACTTAACGCTTGGTATAATTTTGAAAAAAATAAAGTTAGAGTACCAAAATGGAATAAAATAATAGTTTAGGTACTAAATATGTAGTTTACCCAATATTTTATTTTCACTGTTTTATGAATTACGGTTATAAAACTGTTTTTTATTCTTTTATGTCTATTACAATGATGAAATGCAATTGGAAATTTTCCTAGTCAAATTTCATTGTCAGTTTAAAAAAACCTTATCTAATGAATGTTTTCTTTTGGTATTCATCTTATTGTTGTTTTTTACCGTAAGCTTTATATTAGTTTTTTTTAGTAATTTTGGTGGTTAAAAGATAGTATTTATTTAGGTTTGTTTTAATTATTTACAACGTGCATATCGTGTAGACATAATTGTTTGAAACTGGGACATCTAAAAGGAACAATATTCCTTTTCACCATTAAATTGCTTAATGCATTATGTATATTCATTTTGTTCCTCAACACATTTTATATTTCCCATAATTTGTTATAGCTATTCAATTTGGAACAAAAAGTGTGTCCATGAAGTGTTTGTGCAATTTTTATGAGTTTCAAGCATTATAAGTTTATATATAACTTTACATATTTGTATATTTTTGTTGTATTCTTGTTATTGTTTTATAATATACCGTGTTGGTAATTCAATTTTGATTCTAAATGCATTTTTCTAATTAGATAACAATACAAGGCATAAATTAATATAAATATTATGTTCGAAGCTTTGACCTAATTTTCCAAAGCATGCTGAGGGCATATTCTGGTTTCCTTAAAAATTGAGGAAATTCGTGTTAAAAATGTAATGATTTTTAAGCAAATAGGGTCAATTTCAGTTTGGAAAATTTGACTTCGAAGTGTTCACTTACACATCAGGCAACGAGATGCAACCGTAGAATTATTTTATTTTAGTTTCTTTTTTAATTAGATTTATGAACAACTTCATGCCTGCACTCTCTTTCCTTTCTGTCCATGCTCGAAGAAACTCATTCACATGACTTATTCAGTAAATAATAAAAAAAGAATTTAAAAATAAAAATATTAGATACATAGTTTTGCACATGTCAAAACTCATCAACACATTCTCTACAAGCAAAAAATTTAACCTCCCTCGAGAACCAAGAAATCATTATTTCTGTTTCCTTCACTAAAACGTTAAGAAATACAGATGCAATCAGACAACAAGATTTGCAATATGTTGTGTCAAATCATACCTGGGTTTATTCATTAACTGAGGCACTCATTTGAGAAGTAGATGAAGGAGAGCGAAAGTCTAAACCTGATTGTTCTCTATAGTCCTTACGGATGCTCCATAACACCTCCCCGCACATCCTCATACTCGGCCGGCTCTGCCTACGGGGAGCCAGGCATTGTAACGCTAGTTCGAGAATCTTTTTTAGGGCTAAATTAGTTCCAACAGTCTGTTCTAGCAGAGGGTCCAAGGCTGAAATGGCATCACCATCAGTGAACTTCTTCATTGCCTGCAATTGCAAAAACAGATTAGGTATCAGTAATTTTATTATGGCACACGTTATTTCTCTGCATGATCTGAGTCAATAGTTCTCTACAAAGAACTAGAATCATTGCATATAACCGATGGATAATTATTGTCGGTTTTCCTAACACAGATTTTTTTGTTCATTTTAAAAGTAGAGGGATCAAAATGCACTTTGTACTATAATGCAAGGATCTATTAAGAACTTTTAACAATAAAAGGGACGAATTATGGTTCATATTTCAAGTAATGTGAGAATGGGAGAGTTCAATGCATACCCATCTTGGCGTTATCCGCTCATTGAGTTCCCTTTTTGGTTCAATGGGGCGCCTGCCTGTGACTAGTTCAACTAATAATACTCCAAATGAATAAACATCACTCTTTTCAGTAAGTTGATAGGTTCTGAGGTATTCTGGGTCCAGGTAGCCGGCGGTTCCTTTAACCTGCGTTGACACATGGGTTGCACCAGAGTCCGTATCGGCAGCCAGCCTAGCAAAACCGAAGTCGGCGACCTTGGCTCGAAGCGTTTCGGTAAGGAGGATGTTGGAGGACTTTATGTCTCTGTGGATAATTGGGTGATCTACACAGAATTCAGTCCCGTGATCTAACTAAATTCTATCAAAGAACAACAAAGCTCTTATTTTCGAAACCAAAAGAACAACAAAAGCAAACCTGTATACATATGAAGATAGGTAATTGCATGAGCCACATCAATGGCTATATCAAGCCGTGCAGCAAAATCAAGTTCTTTCCCATTAACACCTGCAGCAAAATTTTCTCCTGTTTTTCATCATTTGAAGTCTCAAAATATTCCAGCATAAAAAGGAAGAAGAAACAGGAATTCACCATCCAAGTGTTCCCTAAGAGTTCCATTGGGGACATATTCCACAACCAATATTCTTTCATCTCCATGCTCTAAATACCCATAAAATTTAACCAAATTCAAATGCTCCACTTGTGCCAGTGTTGTTACTTCACTTTGGAATTCCACACTCAAATGCGTATCATACACGCTCTACAAAAACAATCCCACCAATTTTCATCAAAGATCGAAAAGAGAAACTATCTTAAGTAACTTCATGGTTCTAAATCCGAACCTTTTTAGCCCGTTTGATAGCAACAAGGGTTCCATCATGAAGTTTTCCCTTGTAAACCGTTCCGAATCCGCCTTGCCCGACCTTGAAAGCAGGGGAGAAGTTCCTTGCGGCCTTGAGAATTTCGTCCATCGTGAATTTCGTGTTCCCTGGCCCTCTCTCCTTAGTTGGATTGGAATAAATTCCTCTATTCGAACCCCGTGTCGTTCTTGATGTTTCCGATGCAACTACGAGTAAACAAATTAAAAGATAAAGAGACATAGTTTAAACTCGTTGTTTCTTTTACGTTACTTGACTATGGAAAGTTGATCAACAATGCGGGTTTCATTATGAAGGAAATATTGATTAGTTTTCTTTGAACTTGAACTAATTACTAATTCAAAAAGTATCCGTACATTCATTCTAAAATCGATCACAGAGAAAATTTTGTGTTTTTTTCTCAATATGAAGCTTTTGACAAGTAGTTGGTGGCAGATCCTGATTGTTGTTTGGTTGAGGAGAAAATTTCAAAACAGAAAGAAAGCACCCATAAGAGAAAAAAAAACCAAAGACAACTTTCACATTTAAAAAAAAACACTAAAAAATCTTCAAATAACAAGCGGAAACTCAAATTTTTAACGTGGATTTTTAACGTCTTGTTAGATCTGAGGATCGAAACTCAAATTTTCTGTAAATTTACTATCGAAACTCGAACTCTGCAAAGTTTTATACGCCATCATCGTTTAAACTAAAAAGAGAAACAGGACGTACCGTAAGGAGCTCCAAACTCTTTTGATACTTTTAAATTCTTGCTTTCAGTTGTCTCCGGCGGTGTAAAACAGGATATAAAAGCTCCAGCAATGGACCGGGCGGCAACCGTTAATGGATTCCGACCTGAATCGGGTTTCCGAGAGTCAGGTGGTGCAGAGTAGGACGAAAAGCAAGGAGAGTTAGCAAATCGGTCCGGCGTTGATCGTAAGCCTGAGCTCGGGTTCCTGCTTTTCGAGCTGCTGGTGGAGCTGGTCATCACGAAAGGTAAGAAAAAGAGAGAGAGAAATGGTGTACGTAATGACTTAGAATTGGCGGGTAGCTGTGGGGATGGAGATAGTATTAAAGAGACGACTTACTTTTATTTAATTATTGAATAAAAAATGGGTTAGGCTAATATGCGCCTCTTAGGTTCAGTTTGCTAAATAGAACAACATGTTGGAGGATTGAGCGACAATAAAAATTTTAAACAAACCATTTTTTAATTAATAAAAAATAAAAATTATATTTGTTAAACAAATAGTAGTTGCTAATTTAATTAGATACGAATATATTAAATTATAATAAAAGTATAAAAATAAAAAATAAAAATAAAAATAAATTAATCACATAAATTAGACATTTTCTTTAAAATTATTAAAATACATTAACTATTCCCCTAAGAATAAAAAGGCATTATATAAGAAAAAATTAAAATTTTAATTAAATAAATGATAGATAAAATCAAATATTATTATTGATGAAGAATGATAAGCCCTATAAACATTAACATAAAAATACATATAACAATAAAGATTCGTTAACAAACTAATATTATTATAATTTAATTGTGATCTATCTTTGATGGTTGAGAGTAGTTATCAATATTCAACCTAAATATCTAAACTAAAATGAATTAATAGGATAATCAATAATTTTTTTAAAAAAAATAAATCTAACCCAAAAAATATACTTTAATAGCATAAAAATTATACTAAAAAAATATAGAACTATTCATTATTTTCATAAAGAATTAATTAAATAAAAAATAATATAATTTAAATTAAAAAATAGGGTCAGTTGTTAGAATTTAAATGAGTTAATTACATCATATATCCTCAAACTATAACCCTCACTTTAAACTGATCTTTAAACTTTTGAATATTCCAATTTAATTCTTATACTATAACATTTATTTTAAATTAGTCCTTAAAGTTTTAAACATTCTAATTTCATCCCTAAACTATGACTCTCTTTCTAAATTAGTCTCCAAAATTTTGAATATTCAAATTGCATCCCCAAATTCATCTAAATATGTAATTAATTTTAACCATAATTTAACCTAATTTTTTTTATTCAAACATAAAATAATATAACTTGATCTAACGATTTTATTAACAAGAGATATGATCAATATATACGTATAGTTTGTGATGACATTGGAATATTCAAAAAGTTTGGGATCAATTTAGAATGAAAGTCATAGTTTGGGGATGAAATTTGAAATGTTCAAAAGCTTGAGGACTAATTTAGAATGATAGTAATAGTTTAGGGATGAAATTGGAACACTTAAAAGTTCAGTGACCAATTTACAATGACGGTCATACTTTTGAGGACATACGATACAATTAACTCAATTTAAATATAACAATCTACAAATTTAAATTTAAATTTATATATAAGAAGACATAATCTTACTTTCTTACTTGCTAGCTGGATGAACGCGTTTTGTCTTGACTTCAGTGTGTGTGCGTGTTTTCTTCTAATCCATACAAAATTCGATATATGAGAAAAACAAATCATTTCTGAGATTTTTTTATCGTGCTATTTTTTAAAAATAAAATAAATTATCAAAATAATTGTTGAATAATTATGTCTTTCATTTTTATTCTTTTTTAACTTTTGAAATTTAGTCTTTGAATGTTTAGTTTTAAAAAAATATTTAGTTATCTATTTAATTTAAAATTTCAAATCTACTCGATAACATTTTAAGATTTTAAAATTTCAACTCTGATTGATAACATGTTTAAATATAATATAATCGTTATATAAATTATAAAAGTATTAACAAAATATAAATTATTGAAAATATCAAAATTTTAAAACTAATATAATAATAGTTAGATATATCTTACTTGTTAAGAACGCATTTCCATATTGTTTTCAAAATTGCCGAACTCGTAATTGAAAGATAATGGAGAAAGTCAGCTTGAATGATTTAATTCATATTATGAATATTTAAATAATTTAAATTTTTTTTATAAAAGTTTAAAGAAGAAGGATATGCTGATTCAAATTTAATTGACTAATAACCTTTTCTATATATTTAAAAAAGCTTAAGGCTGTAAACTCCAAATTAGTATTCGGCGCCGGAAAAAGGGTTGCCCGTTGTGGAAGAGTATTTTATACAGTCAAAGTCAAACAATACTAGGAGGAAAAATAAAAAGAAAATTCTTTAAAATGGTTTGAAAAAGATAAAAGTATCTTTTAGTCATTGAATTCGATAACTATTCTCAATTTGATACTTGGTTTTTCGTTTACATTAGTTCTTGAATTTAGAAACTATTCTCATTTTCGGTCATACTGATGCCGTGATACTCCCAAATAAATTTTACCAATTTCAATGATCAAGTGGAATTTGATAACTTTTCTCATATTGATCCATGGTTTTTTTTTTTGTTCAAATTAGTCTGAGTTTAGGAACGTTTCTCATTTTTAGTCATATTGATGTCGTGAAACTCCCAAAAAATAAATTTAGGTACCAATATGGACAAAAAACTTAAGGGACCAAATTGAATTTTTCATCAAGTTCAATGATAAAAACTTACTTATCCCTTTTAAGAAAATACATTACTCTACAGACCAAAAACATGATGTTTGATTTAATTAAGTCCAAAGTCTGAATCAAACAAATATATTTTTCTTCAACATAATAACGTTTTAACTACAAATCAAGTATGACGGTAGGTTTCAACGTTTCTTTCTTGCCAAACACTACTGCCTGAAAACAGCAATGTCCGAACAAAAATGGGGTTGGCACTTACACAGGTTGCTTAGCTCAAACTCACCCGCCACTTAAATAAGGATTTTAACATTAATGTAAGATGTTCCACTCTTCCACTTCATGCCTGCAGATGTAAGACAGCATATAAAACATCGAGAACTCTCATCCAACTACTGATCAGTTTAAATGGTTTTCGTAAATCAGAAAAGGTGGTTGCATGTTTGTCGAAACATATCTTAATCTCCAAGGCTCACCTCAGATCTTCCTGGTTCTTTGAATGTCAACAGATTTAAGGATGGCTTCTAATGCTCAACTCTTACCCTTCATTTTCTGGATTGGAGAATGAAGCTCTTCGAGCCTCCCTCTAGTCGTTTCCGATGCAATGCAGGGAGCACTATGACATTGACGTATTCAAAGTAGGGGACTGTATTTTCATTTTTTCAAATTTATACACTACAGTTTACCATGTGATTTAACTTCGTAACGACAACTACAACAACCTACAGATGATATGATAAATTCGATAACTTATGTTCCATGCCGACTTGCAAGCAGCAATCTTCATCAACAGTGATCTGCAGTGATTATAAAGTTCAGTGTTTAAACTTTAAACCAATGATTTGTGGTATAGTTGAGAGAAGATTGACATGATTCTTAAGTTTGTTGGGATTTGCCAGACTTTCAAGCAAACCTTCTAATCAGCTTAGAGGACACTTAAATAGACTAGCATTAGACCTATTGTTATTGCTAAAACATTTACAAAAGGTTAAACAGACGTATTCATTCAACTCAATATCATAACAACCCATTGACATCTATCGATCAGCATAAAATTGTTCCGTCAATTGCATAAAAAAATGACACATGAAATGGGGCATGCGGATTCATTTAAAGTGTGCAAAACCTTAACAGAAGATTCAAAATCATACCGTAGTAAGAACTGTACTCGTTGTCAGAACACTTGAATGGGGCATGCGGATTCATTTAAAGTGTGCAAAACCTTAACTGAAAACATAATAAAAAGAGTCAAAGAGCAGAGTCATCCATATTGCTGAAGAACATATTCTGAGCAGTCATTGTGTTGTATTTCTGCTTCGTTGGACCAGGTGAGATCGGCTATATGGTCAAAGTTTCGGGTGAGATTACACTTGAGGTGAACACATTTCATCAGCAGCAACCTCCACCTGGCTACAACCAGGAATTTCGTAATCACAATGGTTTGTCATCATTTTCCTAACATTTGCCACATCTAACCATCTTCCTTTTGAAGCATATATGTTAGAGATAGGAGTATAATTAACGGGTTTGTTGGGCTCCAAGGCAAGAAGTTTTTCTGCTGCCCACTTGGCTGATATTATGTTTCCATGGATGCTACATGCTCCTATGAATGCTCCCAAGGTATCTGGCGTACATGCAACCGACTGAGATGTTAGAACATTAAAAGCCTCATCGAGAAGGCCAGCTCAACCAAGCAGATCAATGAGGCAAGTATAGTGCTCTGAATCTGGAATAATTTGATAGTCATTTATCATTGTATTGAAATAGTGAAGCCCCTCATTCACTAGTCCTCCATGGCTGCATGCTGAAAGAACAAGAAAGGTAATTTGATCCGGCTTTACACCAGTAGCTAACATTTTCTTGAACACTAAAATACTTTCTTTTGAAAGACCAAGGGACGAATAAGCACCTATTAGCGATGTCCAAGTTACAAGATCAGGCTCTGCAACTGAAACAAAACATTGCAATGCACCATTAACTTGACCACACTTGGAGTACCCGTGTATTAAAGCATTTGCAACTGATAAAAAAGACTCAAACCCATTTTTTAATACATACTTGTGGAACTGCAACAATTCAGCAGAGGTGGATAAAACGCCACAAGATCAAATTATGCTTGACATAGTTAATTCGTCTGGACAGATATTTTGTAGCCTCATTTCTCTAAGAAGCTCCATAACCTTCTCCACATCTCCATGCTGTGCATAACCCAAGATCAGTGTGTTCCAAGACAACATTTCTGGCAGTCATTCCATCAAAGGCATTTCGAGCATCATACAAATTTCCATTCTTTACATACATATCAACAAGTGCACTCGCCACGATCAGGTTGTTTAGGGTTGTTTTATGGTTTTCTGTTTCTGTAAGGGGTGTTTTTCTTTGTTGTTTCTTATGTAACTTTCTTCTGTTGAATAAAATCTTAAGGCACTCTTTTCCTCCTTCCGCTGATTAAGGAGCTTCTCTAAGAGCTCCATTAATCAAGAAGGGGGGTTTTAACGAGGCCTGAAATTCTTATAAAAAAAAGTGCACTCGCCACATGAACATCTGAATCAAAACCAAGTTTAATAATGAGATCATGAATCTGCCTTCCCAGTTCATCAAATCCCCAACTACAGCAAGATTTAAGCAAAGAACAAAACGTATAAACATTCCCCTTAACACCTTCCTTCTTCATCAAATCGAAAAGCTCAAAAGCCTCTTGTGTTAAAGAACCCGAAGCATAACAAGAAACCATCACATTCCACAACACCAAATCTATACAAAAAACTTGATCGAAAACCCATCTCGCTTCTTCAACAATACCACATTTCCCATATAAATGAACAAGAGCACTGCTCACAAAAGAATCATATAAAAACCCCAATTTCACTATAAGACAATGTAATTCTCTGCCAAAAACGACTTCATTTACCTCAGAGGACGCACTGAGCAAAGAATTCAAAGTTATATGATCAAAACCTACTTTGTTTATCAACATTTTCTTGAAATAATAAAAACCCGACAAAGATTCGACTTACAAATCATTGTGTTCCACGCCACCAAGTTTCAACACGCATTTGATCGAACAATTTCTCTGCGTCGGAAAATTGTTTGCATTTAACGTAAAAATTTAGCATTCGAGTCTGCAAAGGCAGTACGTTGTTCAATCCTTGTTTTATTACGCGCGAATGGAATTGTTTCCCTTCTTTAAGGAGACCCATTTTGGCCGAGATCATGAGGGCGTGGGAATAGAAGCCGGTCGACTCGGGATGAAGCGCCGACGCCGTGTTTCTGAGTGTACTCGATGAGAGAGATGGATTGGGTTCTGGCCTCAGCGCGCGTAATTGGGTGGTCTCTCTCGAGAGAGTTGATGAAGAATATAACTGTCGTTTGAAATGGACGGAGGAGATCATAGGAGTACGGCATTTCGAAAGCATAGAACCGGACACTGGGGAGTTGACCGTTACACGAGACCACAGCCGCCGTATAATGAATTCTATGGCGGTAAGTAGATTTCATATAATCTCTAAATTAGCCTTCAACATTTTAATGTTTAACGTTTATATTTTGTTATAAATAAATATTATAAATCTAATTTTTAAAATATTTTAATATTATTTTTTAAAATATATTAATACTTGTTTAATTATATTTCAAATTTCAAATCAAGTGATTTTTTTTATTATTTTAAATAATTTAAGGTGATTAGAAGTTAATATATGGTTAAAGTCTATTTTAGCCATTGACACAATGCACACATATCATACATATATAATTATCCGAACCAAAATTCTTTAAGGAAAATAATATTTTATTTTATCATTGAGGCTATACAATGAATTCGTTAAAAAATATTTTTAATTTAACATTTAATCGTTTATATAATTTAAATAATAACTTTAATGGAATATAAATAAATTAATAACCTAACTTGGTAGTTAAGATCGTATAATTTTGTGAAAATTTTCATATTTGAATCTCAAATTCAATGAAAATAATTTTTTTGTAGTGATAATTTAATTAACTTAAATACTACACCAAAAAAAAAACTTAAATACATATTCCGATGAAATTAACACCATTAATATGTCTAGTCTATTAACTAGTGGTTAATCGGGATTTGAATTTTGGTCTCTATATATATACTTTTTTTATTTTATTTGATTAATAAAATAATAACAATGATGAATAATTAAAATAAAAATGAAACGTTAGATTTATTTTTTTAAAAGATAAAGTAATAAATAGTTTATTGACTGTAAAGTATTATTTTGTTAGGTCTATCGACTATTAAAAGTCATAAAATGATTATCTGATTATAAAGTTTGTTTTGTTAGTCTCTTAATTATTAAAAGTTACAAAATGATCACCTGTTTATTTATATGTTCCAAATTCGTCATTTTCGTTAAAAGTTGACGACGGTCTGAGATGGAGTTTAAACTGTTGAATGAGATATGATAAAACATGATCTCATAATCTCAAACGACTATCATACCCAAGTCAACATGTTAATGTCAAGCTCAGACAAACGTCAAATTTTTAACGAAAAATGATGAATTTGGAACATATGAATAGTCAAGTGCTCATTTTGTAACTTTTAATAGTCGATAACTATTTTTTAACTTTTAATAATCGGTAGACTCGTAATACCCTCATGGACCATTTGGTATTTTACCCTTTTTAAAAAGTAATTTTTAAAATAATAATTGAATAGTAAAAAAAGAGAATAGATGCATAAACAAATTGATAGTTTATTTAATATTTATAGTGTAAGATAGAAAAAGAATTCTTATGCGAATGTAATCAGTACACTCAATTAATATAAATAAATAAACCGTGAAGGAGAGAGCTAATTCCTAAGTGGGGCGCATACTTTTAGGGGTGTTTAAAATTTGATTTTAATCGAATTGAATTAATTCGGTTAATTCGGTCGACCATCGAATTAGTCGGAGAACGGTTAAGATTTTTTTAGTTATTCGATTAACGGTTAATTTGGTTCGAAATCGGTTAATTAACCGGAATAAAATTTTAAATATTAAATATATTATATATAACATATGGGCTAAGCCCAAACTATTTAAAACCAATTAATAATTTAAGATCTAATAATTTTTAAACCTAAATCAATATTAATTAATTAAAAATTTTATATAAATTTTTTATTTTATAATTATATATTATTTAAATTAATTGTAAATTATTTTTCTGAATTAAAAAATATTAAATATATTATATATAACATATGAGCTCAACTTAAACCATTTAAAACCAAATTAATAATTTAAGATCCAATAATTTTTAAACCTAAATCAATATTAATTAATTAAAAAATTTATATAAAATTTTTATTTTATAATTATATATTATTTAAATTAATTATAAACTGTTTTTTTGAATTATAAAATATTTATTTTTTATATAAATTAGAAAATTTTAAAAAAATTTAAAAAATTTCGGTTAATTCGAAAATTAACCGAATTAACCAAAATTTATTCGGTTCGGTTAATATTTTCGAAAAAAAGTTCGGTTCGGTTAACGATTAAAGAAAAAAATTTCAATTAATTCGGTTAATGATAGTTCGATCGATTCTGCCACCGAATTAACCGAATAAACAACCCTACATACTTTTGAAGAAACTATATAACAACAGATAAAAATTAAAATAGAATAAAAATAAATAGAAAACCTAAAGTTTCTTTCCTTCTTTCTTTTTTTAAGGGAAGTTTTATCGTACAACAATCTTAATATACAATTAAAGAAATACGTTATCGATTTTGTTATTATTTTTTTAATATTTCAGGTAAAAAATTACCTAAAACATTATTATTTATACCTAAAATATTAATATTTTTTAACATTTCTGATAAAGTGTATAATAATAATAAAATCGATAAAAAATAATATTTTATATAACGCTTTACCGAATATATTAACAAAATCGATAAATTATCCAATAATAATAAAATCAATAAAAATAATAATATTTTAAATAATTTTTTACTAAAAATATTAAAATAATAATAACAAAATTAATAATACGTCGCTTTAATTTTATATTAATAACTCCGCGAGACTTTGCCTACATACAATTGCAGGGGATGTCGCTTTGAATGAGCACGCAAACTCACGAAGACACGAAGTCCCTCTCCATACGCAAACTTTATCACCGTTTATTACCAATACCATTTCCCATCTAAACGGATAGCTAGAAGATATACATTAGGCCACGTTGTTTTACCTGCCACTGCCGGTAACTCTACCCTTTCCACTTTATAGCAGTTGCCTTTTTCTCCGGTTTCATCATCCTCTTACAAAGACTTTTCGAGATCTATAAAAGGTTACCCAGGTTTCATTATGTACTCGAAACTGTGAACTCATCGTTTCTCCTTCGACTGATCTAGTGCTAATAACCTGTAGATTGCTCCCGGTAAGTATTGACCTTAAGTTTTCGTCTTCCTTTTTCCTTTTTTATCCTTTTAAATTTAACGAAATCAGAATCATTGATTATTGATCAACTTCTGATTATCTGTTGACGATGGTTGATTTTCTCTTCTCGTTGTTGTTTTTGATGTTTAATTGTTTCTTATAATCATCGCATGGCTATGCTACGGTTGATACGGTTCTCTGTTTTCTTTGATTAATTTCTGATGTATAGTCAGATAGCTGCATGATTCGTTGTGCAAGTTTTTTTTTGTTAGACTGATTTGATTTGTCTGTTAATACTTGATATTGAGTCGGTGAAACTTATTTGATGGTTTTTGTACAGTCCGATAAAGAAAAGATCTCGTCAAGTATACAGCACGGTATCGGTGTTTTGCTGAATCGATTGACCTGCGTGTGTTGCAAAAATTTCTTAGATGCGATTATTATGATTTTTAAAATTATTGGCTTGCGATTCCATTACGATGTTTTCACTTTTCAGTGAACTATTGGTGTGAGGGAAATATAAATTTGGTATTCTCTTTTCTAAAATTCTCTTAAAATTTTATTTTCATATTGTTTCTTTGTCAAACTTTGAATGTTCTTGTTAATAACATGGAATTGCTTTGATTTTTTCAATAGTTAATTTGTAAGTTTTATAGTTTTATTCAGTGAACTATTACCTTCCTCGAAGCTCCCCTCTATTTCTCGACAAGGAAAACAAGTTTATGGAATCCCTTATTTATTTTTCTCTGGCTGTTAAAGTAATTAATACTATTAACTTTAGGAAGTATTGAAGTCTTGACAATGGCGGATAATGGGGAAGGAGAGGAAAACATCCCACGTGGGAACGAATGGGAGGTTGTGTCCCTTACTGCATCTGCATATGCTGCTGCTCCTGGTCCAAAAGATGTTGAAACAAAGGATGATAGCAAAAATGATTCATATGACGTGGAAAAAGCAGAAACTTCTCGTGCTTTATTCATGTCTGGCCACTTTGTCTTTTCCCCCAGCGAGCATGGTGAACACATAGACAAGGACGTGGTTCCTGGATCTGGTGCTTTAGAAGAAGGTGATATATCTAGTACAAAGGATGAAGAAGATTGGTCTTTGAAAGGTTTGAATGTACATGATGAACTTGCAGGTATGCAATTTTTTGATAAGAAACATGGTAGAGAGTTTGAAGAAGGAACAACACTGCAAGAACTGGATTTGATCAACAAGGACCAGAGTTTGTATAGTGCTGCTACATTTGGTTCTTTCCATAGCGAGGAAGCACTTGGCGGATCAACGACCACTGTTTCTGAGCTTATTGAAGCTTCTGAGCAAGGCTTCGATTTTCCTTCAGACATGCCCGAGTCCCCAAAGCCTTTACAAGATGATGAAGGGGATTGCTTTGACCTCCCTTGCGAAGCTTGGTGGAAGAGAAGAGCAGTTTCGTTGTATGCTCATGCAAAGGAGGCAAATGCATTTTGGTCCGTTTTTGTTGCAGCAGCTGTGATGGGCCTTGTGATTCTTGGGCAGCGGTGGCAACAAGAGCGGTGGCAAGCTTTGCAGCATAAGTGGCAGCTGAGCATCAACAATGAGGTATACGTATTGCTAATTGGTCCTTTCAGATTTAGCAAGGATGCATATTTGTACTTCTCTTTGCATCCTGTAAAGTTAATGTTGCTTTGATTTTTAATTTTTCTTCAAGTATGTGTCTGGCTCTTACCCAAATATTTATACGAGGATATAACCCCTCAAAGACATAGAAAAACTTAATAAATAAATAAATATACATGTGTCGGGCACACATCCACATCAGATACTCGCGCATGAGTCCAAGTGACATTGCCATAAAACATTTACTTTTGTGATGGAAGAGGTTTTGAAAATGCGGGTTCTACATTTTGAATATGTGTTTTCATATTAACATGAATATGTGTGTTTACATGTTGACTGTTAGTAAAGTTGGCTGTGCAACCTTTTGCACAAGGAAAACATATTGTTTGGTTGGACCAAGTAGAGAGAAACTAAAGAGAAGTTATGAAATTAAACAAGATCCTGCGCTACTATTTTATATGTTTTAGTAAAGCTGCCAACTGTTAGTAGTGACCTGCACGTTAAAATTGAAACTTTTGGAAGTTGGAATATCCGCTTGTTGTAAGCGGCCGTCTTAGAGCCAAACTGTTCTAGTACTGTGAATCTTGAGCATGCTGCATTCTTAATTCTCCATCCCTTGCTTCCTCTTCTTTTTCTCTCATCTATGTCCTACCTACTTTCGCTTCGGATATTGACATCTCTTTTCTACCTTTTGGGTTTTGACAGAAGACTGGTAAGGTGCTTGGTTCCATATATCGCCTTAAGGAAGTCATTGTGGGTGGCCACCGCCGAGGTTCTTTTCTGAGAGGCACCTTCCCTAATGACAGTTAAAACTTGTGATGATGACGACGATGAAAAACATAGTGAGAGAATGTCATGGAGATTGATTTGGGTGTTGATATGTTAGTTTGCTGTTTGATTAACTTATTTGTCTTAATCTCTCATGAAAAGCTACGTAGCTGCATGCAGAAAGGAGTTTGCGATTTGTGTTTATATTGTGACCATTGTCTGCGATTTGTGTTTATATTGTTACCATACCCCCACTTGAGGTTCCCCCTTGGCCATTAACAATGATTCCTTGCGTGTATGCGCCATAAAAGCCAGTAAAGAACTTGGGACTTTCGAAGATTTTCATTTTCTGATCCTAAATTTGAATCACATTCTAGTCTATAGAAACATTGTGCAACTCCAGTTCCTCTTCGACAGCATTTTCTGAACCTGGAAATTTAAATTTCTCTTCTTAGTTTTTTTCCTTCACGATTTGAACTTATTTATCGGTGCACAATGAAGCGTTTATTTTCAATACCTTCGAATTTTGATTTCCCTTTTAGTGTTGAACTGTCATTTCCCTGCCTTTTTTAAAATCTAATTTGTTTAGATAATTTTTTTATGCACCAGTGAAATCGATTCTTTCAATGTAAATTAATGGCTATGGAGGGAAGCCCACAAGTTACAAGAAGAGCAACTAGATCCTACTCTTGTTCTAGCAATGCCGTTGAATCAACAAAACCCACTGAATCCTACAAGCAAACAGTTAACGACCTTGAATTCAGACAACAACCTCTTAGCTTGGAGGATCTCGTCTCGTTATCCCGGTAGACGAACTCAAATTCTAGAGCTTTTACACCTTTTGGGTCCCTTAAATTCTCCCTTGTTTCCGATTTTGGTCTATGGTGGTCCTTCTACAGGGAAAACCTGTGTTACACTCCAGGTATTCAGGCATCTAAATCGCCCCTTCATATATTCCAGTTGCGTTACATGTTACAGTCCTAGGATCCTGTTTGAGTCTATATTGAACCAGCTGGTGTTTCATAGGAAGGACTCAGGACATAGTTATAGTGTAAAACGTTGTGAGAGGCCGTCTGATTTTGTTAACTATCTTCGTGAAGGATTGGAGAATGTGGTTTCTAATCTCAAGGAGAATTCAAGGAAATCGAGTTCTAAGATGATAGGACGGCCTGATGGAACAATGGTTTACTTGGTTTTTGATAACTTGGAGAGTCTGGGATAAAAACTCTACTATATTACCCTTTCTATTTAACCTTTATGATATTTTAAGGATGCCCGAGCTCGGTTTGATCTTTATTAGCAACACCTCACCTGATACATATTATTTGAATATTGGTTATGTGGAGCCAATCCCTCTTTATTTTCCCGCCTACGCTGAAGATGATTTTCGTTATATTTTTATGGCAAATCAAGCCAACCGCAAACTGTATGCCTCCTTTCTTGAGTAAGTTCCTAAACCACAAGTCAATTTAATCTTCTTTTTTGAGCATCAACTAATGAAATTATTTCTTCTTTTATGTCACACAGTGCCGTGCTAAGGCCTTTTTGTAGAGTTACCAGGCATGAAGATGAATTGGCTGCAGGCCTGCCTTCATTATTTAACAAGTATTGTGAACCCTTAAGTGACAAGGAAGTTACACCCGATGAAGAAATGAAGGGAAAGCTGTTTAGTCAGATTCAACCACATATTGCTTCTGCATTGAATGAAACATTCCAGGTTAGATCTCAGCCACTTCTCCGAGCAGAAATAAACAAGGAGACAAAGAAAACAAACAGTTCAAGGATGTCAGGAATTCGAGAAAACTTTTATAAGATAGATTTTCACACGTCTACTTCTGCAAAGTATCTTCTTATTTCCTGCATTCCTTGCTTCAAGAAACCCTGCCATTCTTGATGCATCATTGTTCGATTCAACTGGAGTTCTGATAGTCGCAAACAAAAGAGGAAGTAAGCACAATGATAACTAAATATTTAAGTTTTCTTTTAAGAATACACTTCTAGTCCATAAGGAAACAATTAGTATGATAATGGAATATAGCTGTCCAGTAGTCAGTAGGGCTCCCTTTTTCTTCTAGACTGCTTTACTTAACTCTTCTATTGGACATGATTTTCTGTTTTATTATATCTGTCATGTGGAAAATACTGCAGTGGCGCTTGAAAGAAAAAGTTCATTTACAAGCCAAGAGCTTGCTCTCATCTTATTCTGGAGTATATGGCATAGTATTAATTGATTTGGTCATGTTTGCATAGCTAATTGATTTAATGGTGCTGTCCCAGATCTTAATTATTAGCACATATAAATGATCTTCTATAACCTGATAGTCGTAAACGAAAGAGGAATTAAGCTCAACAATAACTAAATATTTAGTTTTTCTTTAAAGTATACACTAAAAGGCAATAGAGCTACAGCTACTATCTACTATCTACCATATGGAAACAATTAGTATGATAATGGAATATCACTGTCCAGTAGCGCTTCCTTTGTTCTTCTAGAGTAATATACTTAACAATTAGTATGACAATGGAATATAGTACAGCAAATTGCTTGCTTAGATACTCCATGCTGTCTAATAACTAATAATCTCATGTTTCTCTATGCATCTTGTTTTACTTATAAGGTTAACTTGTCTGAATTTGCTTATGAAAAATCAATGGATCAAAAGGAAATGGCAGAGCAGGAATTGCTTATGAAAGGGCCTGGAAATGTTTCCACTGGAGAGGTTATCTGCCATATTTCAGTGTATAACATCATTAGCAGAAGATCCCCTTGATGAAGAAGAAAGTCATGAGCCAACAACCGTGGGAAATAGTAGAGGACTGATGTCTGATGTACTGTTGCAACTGTCCAGTCTATGCAATGCTAATTTTATCATTAAAGGAGGAAGCTGTCCGTTGGAGGGATTGACTCGATATCGTACTGCTGTGAGTGAAGATCTGACTTTGAAGGTAATCTTTTCAAGTTGTCTTGTAATTTTGCAAGAAACTCTTATCTAGTACGTTGTTATGTGATTATAGTGTCTGTATATATACAAACCTTATTCCATTCTAACCGTATACAGGTGGCAAGGAGCCTTAAGTTCCCTTTATCGAAATACTTGTACAGAAGATGATCTCCATGTGAAGAGATGCTTCATCATCATTAATTTGTGTTAACGTCGGAGCATCCAGAAGTTGAAAGGTGATAAATTCATATTTAACATCATTAACCTGCATCATGGACACAGAATCACCGAATGAATCGACAGAACACGGACCATGGTCATCGTAGTCTGAACTAGTAAAGGCACTTGCATAGGAAAACTGTTTAGCGTCATAGACTATAACTGTATCATGCTGTCAGTTTCCTACAATTGTTTTCTCAATATATGAAATTTTAGATCCAGAAAGGGATTTTGGATTTCCAATCTGATTGTTGAAATAATGAATGAATGTCACATGGAAATGGACTGCCGACACCTATTTTGGCCATCTATGGGTTATATCTATGGTTTCGTTTAGGTGCACTAATAATTAACTTTTGGTGCATGTGCTTGTGTTTATAGGGAAATAACTAACTCGGAAGATGGAAACCATTCAACGAAGATTTAACAACAGCCACACACACAAAAGGTAAATGGCTGTGGACAATAACTAACCCAATCACTCATAAAATAAAATACAAGTAAATAAAATTAAAACTAAATTTGTTTAATCAAATTACTTTTTTTAATTTTGTTTAATAACAGAGATTTTATAGTACATAAGTTACTATAAAAATGCTTTGAATCCGTGAGAGACAAGATATTTGAATTGCAATATTTATATTATCCATAAATCTCCGTCCTTAAAATCAGAGATAATTCTCTAATTTAGAATCACTTTAGGGTAAGTACACAAATAGTTCATTGACTATAGGGTATTATTTTGTTAAGTCTCTTGACTATTAAAAGTTACAAAATTGACAGTCGTATGATAAAATTTGATCGTAGAATCGTTTGAGTTGTATTTTGTGGATTCGGTCTCTGTTTTTATTATGTCGTCGAACTAGTGCTTGAAACATTATATCGTCGAATCAATGTTTAAAGTAATGACGATGTATGTAGACATCATTAAATTATAATGTTATAATAGATAGTAGGTGTAGGTTAACGTTTAGTTTTTTTATAAAAAAATAATGAGTTTCATAGTCAAGGGACTCAATATAGTAATATCCTATAGTCACGGGATTATTTGGGTAGTTTATCCTATTTTTTTATTGTTATAAGTATCATTTTTATGTTGAAAAAAAATGTTTCTAAGAAGGTAGAATTTGGAAGTAGGAGGTTGACCAATGCTTGCCAAATAGGTGAAGGTGAGTAACCATCCCATCTATACATGGATTGGCTGTCCACCTAAATTTAATTAACCCAGCCCCTTCTGTTTTCCCCCTCACTTTGCTAATGGAAAACATAGCCTTATTTTTATATATTCATTACGAGTGCAAGTGAACAACCACCCTTGTTTTTTTTCTGTAAATTGTTACTTTAATTTTAAAAAATCATTAAAGTCCATAATAAAAAAAAAGGATTTTCGTTCAAATTGAGTTTCAATCGATTATAATTTTGAATTCAATATAAGATTATTTTTTCTCATTTATAAAAATAAAGAAATTAAAATCATTTATTGAATATTCAATGTTCTAATAAATGTATGGGTCATTTCTTTTTTCTGATTTGTTTCCCATTTCTTAAATATATGCCCACAGAAAAAGTGAATGAACCGTATGCATTATATTCAATGTTACCTCACACTTGACCCCATCCAGTCCATCAATTGATCTACTTGCCGAATAGGTAAGAGACTTAAAATAATAAATAAATATATACTGTTAATTACATGATAAATCCTTGAACTATTATCGAATTTATCCTGGACTTTAAACTTCAAAAATATTTCAATTGAATACTCAACCTAAAGAACAGTCCAATCAAATTCATCACTCTAATATATTGATCTAAAATGTAGTATTCTAAGTTAGAAATTGGATTGAAATTAGATATATTTAATGTAATTAACTCTTAGTTTAGTAGTTGTATTTTCCCCTTCTCGTGGCTGGAGAATAAGGGTAAAGATGAGTGTGTAATCTAATGCATGAACCAACTAGATTGGACATACACTGGATCCACCGGTTTCATTCTTACACGTTATTTTTCTTATTTTATTCAGTGTTGAGACAGTGGCAGGGTTGAGGTGGACACCTTTTCAACGTATTTAAATTTTTTTCGATTAATTATCTATTTTATTGAGAAAGTTCATCTTAATATTTATTTGTGTGTCTATTCTTAAACTCGAATTTTCTTCGATTAATTACATATTTACATATTTTATTGATGTACCCACCTTAGAATTTTATTTGTGTTCACCTCATTTAAAATTTTTATATTGTTAACATATATGTGCCAACTCTTAAAAATATTTTTGGATCCGTCGTGATCCGGTAGAGACAAACGCCATGGATAGGCTCGGGATAGCTCAACCAATACACATAAACTCTGACTTTCTTCACTGGTTTTATTTTAGGCTTAAATAACAAGTTGCCCCCTACACTATACAAGTTTTCTTGTTTTAGTACTTTGCTTTTAGAAATTAAAATGATACTTAGATTTTTCTACTTCAAATTAATCAAAATGTGATATCGAGTAAAAGAAATAACTTTCAATCGGTTGGAACTTACCACGTGACACACGTCGTCACGTAAGTTAAAATACTAAAATGAGTACAAGAATACAATATAAGGGCTAATTTCTGAAATAACCTTTTTTTTAATTTCTTTTAGCTTTCTTTCCTTCTCCAGTTTTGCATGATACATTTAAAACTATGGTCGACCTCACAAGAAAAACAATTGTCTATTTTCTTCGACCAAATACCAAACTTATATTTTTTTAATAATGAATATTATAATACCATCTCAAAATGGTTATTTGTGACGTATAAAATAAAGATTAAAAAATCATAAACAAATATTATCTTATAATTATCCTATACTATTAAAAATAGATATAATAAGATTTGGTATAACCTTTGAAATCTACAAATGAGACACCATAAATGCCAATATGTGAAGCGTCTCAGAAATGCATAATTGAAAGAAAGTCAAATACATCATATGCATAAAATTAAGCGTCCCATATAATACAATTGACTTTCTTTCTCATTTACCAGGAACTGCAGAGAGGCAAAGGGGTTGGGCACACTTTTTTCTAACGTAGACAAAGCATTTAAAGAGAAGAAAGGTCAAACTTGTATGATCCATCGAATCTCAAATACTTTTGTTTATGTTTTTTGCTGATAATTCTGCAGGAACCGGATACAAATATCGTATAAATTTGTAGGTGGTGACTGGTGGGTTTGCTCATCCAACACTAACCAGAAGCCCACATGCAATTAAAAGTAACCCATTTTCATTTAAAAGGGATCAACATGAAATACACTCCGTTTATCTTTGTGTTTGATCTGCTTTTTGCTTCACCGTTTCCTTCTTTTGTGTTCCCCCCCCCCCTCAACTAAACTCATTTAATTTCATTCATTCAATGCTGAATTAAAGTCCCTCTCACCTTCCCTGCAAAAATTAGGTGAAAAATTTTCAAAAAAAAAAGGAGAGAGTTTGAGGGTTTGCAACAGTTAGGGCTTTCTATTGTATCTCCTTTAAGAAGTTTCAACGATCTCTCAGCGCATTTATGGTGGTGCATCTGATGGTTAGAGGAGGAAATTAAAAAGAGAGAGAGAGAGAGAGAGAGAAAAAATGGTGTCATATTCAAAGGTACAGTATGCCCTTAATTATTGCCTTCTTTATAATTTCACCTATAAATCCTCTTTCTATATACACCATTTTTATACTATCACTCTCTCTTATTCTCCTACTCCTCCTTTCATATACGAAAATACAGAAGAAGGGGGGGAAAACATAGCAAAAGCCTTATGTTTTTCGTAGAAATATCTCTTTCAGGGTTTCGAGTTCCCAGAGTTCCTTTTTTGAATAATACGTGAGTTTTTTCTCGAGAAAATTCTGAGCTAGGAGCGAGGTTGTTTTATTGTAGTTAGAGGCAAGTATGGATATATCGACTGCTTTGCTCCTTTTGGCAGCAATCACGGCTTACCTACTGTGGTTCACGTTTATCTCACGGTCGCTAAGTGGTCCACGTGTCTGGCCTATGTTGGGCAGTCTACCTGGCTTGATCGAGAACTGCGACCGCATGCATGACTGGATCTCCGACAACCTCCGTGCCTGCGGCGGTACGTACCAGACATGCATTTGTGCCATCCCCTTCTTGGCTCGGAAACAAGGTCTCGTGACGGTCACGTGCGACCCGAGGAATTTGGAGCACATCCTCAAGTCTCGTTTCGACAATTATCCCAAAGGTCCCACATGGCAGGCCGTGTTCCATGATCTACTCGGTCAAGGCATCTTCAACTCCGACGGAGACACGTGGCTCTTCCAAAGGAGGACCGCCGCACTGGAATTCACAACCAGGACTCTTCGCCAAGCCATGGCTCGATGGGTCAGTCGAGCCATCAAGCTCCGGTTCTGCCCCATTCTCGAGGAAGCTCAAAACCAAGGGCAGCCGGTTGACCTACAGGACGTGTTGCTTAGGCTCACTTTTGATAACATTTGCGGCTTAGCTTTTGGAAAGGATCCACAAACATGCGCCCAAGGTTTACCCGAAAACAGCTTCGCGTCGGCTTTTGACCGAGCCACTGAAGCCTCTCTTCAAAGGTTTATTTTGCCTAAGGTTTTATGGAAGCTAAAGAGATGGCTCCGGCTTGGCTTAGAAGTGAATCTGAGCCGAAGCCTTGTCCACATGGATGAATATTTATCCAACGTCATCAATTCACGAAAGAAAGAATTGCTTACTCAGAAAAAAGATGGGAACCCACACGACGATTTGCTTTCGAGATTTATGAAGAAAAAAGAAACCTATTCCGATGAGTTTCTCCAACACGTGTCACTCAATTTCATTCTAGCTGGACGTGACACGTCAGCGGTTGCTCTCAGTTGGTTCTTCTGGCTCATCATCCAACATCCAATAGTCGAAGATAAAATTTTACGCGAAATTTGCATTGTCCTAATGGAAACACGCGGTGTCGACATGTCAACATGGTTCGAAGAACCTCTAGGGTTTGAAGAACTTGACCGATTGATATATTTGAAGGCATCATTATCTGAAACTCTAAGGCTATACCCTTCGGTGCCAGAGGATTCAAAACACGTGGTGGCTGATGACGTGTTGCCAGACGGAACATTTGTTCCGGCGGGATCATCGGTGACATATTCAATATATTCAGTAGGAAGATTGAGGTTAACATGGGGTGACGATTGTCTCGAGTTTCGTCCCCAAAGGTGGTTATCAGGAGATGAGAAGGAGTTCATCCAGCACGACTCTTACAAATTCGTGGCATTCAATGCCGGGCCAAGAATATGTTTAGGAAAAGGTTTGGCTTATCAACAGATGAAATCGGTGGCGGCTGCGACACTATTGAGGCATAAGCTGACGTTGGTGCCCGGCCATAAGGTGGAGCAGAAGATGTCACTGACACTGTTTATGAAATACGGGCTTAAAGTTAACGTGCATAAGAGAGATTTGGGAGCAGTTGTTGAAAAGATTACCGGGGAAGAGAAAAAGCAAGGTAAATTGTGAATTTTTGAGCGGCGATGGGGCCACTGAGAGTTATATTGTTCACGGATATTGAGCAAGGAAGTTGGGTACATAATCAATGGCAAATCTTTTATAAGAAGGGAGAGGTATTTTAAATTTTACAATTATATATATATTTATATATTATACTCTTTTTCTTTTCTTGTAGGGAACCTTTTGATTTTTTTTTATAAAATTTCTAGTTTGTTTGTAATGGAATTGGAATTGACATGAATCTTTTCTTGATTCAATCATTCAATGAATGAATTAAGTTAATTTACTTTGAATACATTTTTGGATTAGATTATCTTATTCTTTCTTGTGTCTCAAGTTAGCTTAATATGATCATCACTCTCTTAATGTATTTTATAATTTTATATCAATGGCGTGATGCTTGTGGTAATGGGTCACTTGGGATCTACTTTAGTCTTTATTATCTTCATTTTTGTACAAAAAAACACAATTACTACATCTAATATAAATCCATTTTAATATTAATCATTTAGACTGATACTAAATGGAGTGAAAGTGTTAGCTGTTTATAGGCCAAATAGGCCCATATATTGCCTGGAAATCTGGCCCAAAAACTTCATTTCGAAAAGTACCAAATTAGAGCGTGCAGTGTGCTATAAATGTATGCACCCAACTTCTATCTATCGCAACAATGATCCCTTATCCAGGGTTGATAACTCCTGAAAATTTTAAATTAATATATATTTTAGATATTTTTTGTATTTTCAATTGATAATTTGTTTTTGTTCCCTATAATTTTATAAGTTCATTTCTCAAATTTTAGAAATTTATCCCCCTAACAAAAGATCATGCATCCGTCCTTACCCTTATCTGTCCTACAACTAGACTTGTAACGTAAGGCCCACCATGTTATCGATGTACGCTGTCGGATGAGAACCGGGCAAAATATATATATATATACAGTTTTACTTGAAAGTTCAAAGCAGATGCAAAATCAAGCATATAATATTCTTCAATCTAATGATCTGACTGAGCATTTTATGGGCAACCAAATTGTTTGATGGGTATGAACAAAATATTACCCATAAAATCATACACAAGAAACACAGGAATGAAATGAAAGGAGGAATTTTCGCTTAAATAAGTTGGGAAAAAGCTTTTTCATCATGCGACTTCCTGTTCGGTTTTTCACTCACCTAGGCATGCATGCTCCTATTACTTTCGAAAGTTGTTCTTGTTTGGCTACGTAGGCTTCCGTTCTTCCTTGTATAGAATTCTAGCGTTTTCCTAGTCAAGAACCTTCTCTCCGGTTGAAAATAAGTTCCAGACTAATGCGCCAATGATGTACAATGCAACTGACACCTTAAACACATCATCCCAGGAGCCTGCAACAGAAAAGTTTGCAGATGTTAATAATAGACTTGGTATACCGAATTCAAGTTAAATTGAGTGTAATTCAAGCGAACCTCTTTGGAGTATGTAGCCAGTAGCAGCTGTACCAAAAACACCAGCCAGCACCCCAGCAGTGTTCGACAGTCCTAATAGAACTCCCTGTTATAGACATAAACAACTTTCAGAAAAATGTCATTTTGACAAGAAACATTGATGATCAAGTGAATTACTTAAAGAAAACCACATAGAGAATTAGAAGAAAAAAAACCTTTTCGGTTACATTTGTGTGAGGATTATCGAATTCATAAACTGATATTACCATGTAAAGCCCTAAGTGTTTGTAAAAATTGCTTCCATCTTTTAAATTTTTACGAAACTACGGTAAGAGCTGAAAGTGCTAGGACATCAAAATCACAAAATGACATTGCTTTGGTTATTCATTACACTATATTCTATTTTAAGAAACTCACAGCATAGCGTGGGCCAATGTCTTGGTGATTGGAATAAAGGCCTGACTGAGAGAATGCATCTGATCCCTATCAAGAGAAAAAAAAATTATTGATCAATATCTCTTCCAGATTAGTTAGTGGTCGCCTGATTCTTTAACCTCAATGGAAACCAAACACCCAACTCAGTTCCTTTGTCAGTCTAATACAGAAATTTACAGTGAACACTGATTTTTATATAAACTATAGGGAAATTTATGTGGATAAGGTCATAATTGGGGAGAAAGAAAAAACGAAGATGGCAATGCAATAATTGAAAGCTGAGTTGAACCTTAAATAATAATAATAATAATAATAAAGATGGTACCTGGCTACATGCCATACACAGCACTGCCATGGCAGGTGTTCTGACAGAGCTTAGCTGTGCAAGGAAGAAGGCTGGCCCCAGAAAGCCTATCGTTTGCATGATCTGAGAAATTAATAGGTTTCAGGCATGATCACGTTAAAGGACTCAAGTAGTCTTTCTACCATCAGTTGACCAACGTTTTCAATGAACTACTATATTTCCTTTCCATATAGGAAGAAGCTCGGGTCTCAGACTTCTATTGTATAAACACTGACTCCTAGATGTGATATTTTTTTTTTGTTCACTCGATAAATCAATGTAAACTTTGACAATTTGTAAAAATTTCTAGTGGTATGAGTTGTTTATGATACCATGAGATCATGAAGTCCACAGAAAAGATGAGGAGATAGAATTTAAATAAGAATCAGAAAGATCCAGACTGCCAGAGTAGTCAATAAAACACAAGTTGGTACATTCAAGCATATAATAATCCTTATGAAATAAATCAACTTTATTAATCGAAGAAAAGCTAATCCTTGCCTTACGCACTGCTGTTATGGAAAGACCTCTGCTCACTAGTGTGTCAGCGATCCACCCTCCTATGTTTGCAAAGGCAGCCATAGTCAACCAAGGCAATACACAGAGGAGTCCAGATTCAGTTAGGTTGAACTTCAAAACCTGTAAGAACCACCATGGTTAATCATTAGTCGGCGAAATCAATAATTAAGTATATTTTTTGAGCTGCTAGATTAGATTTGAAGAACTTTAGAGGTAAGATAACAAAGCAACACTAGCGAGAAATTCAGCAATTAATGATCAGTAAATCTAATACACAGCACTCATGGCATGCGTTTTGGCAGGTAAAGGTGCACTCATGGAAAGGCATGGGATGCAACAACAATACAGCCTGCACAGGAGCTGCAAGCCATAAACACTTCATGCCTCATATTCAGCAAGGCAATAAGTGCTGAGCAGAGCTGCATGTTATAGACTGCACTCGATGCCAATCGTAAAATTGACATTGTTCATTGGACATGTTTCAAATACCTGATTGTAGTACGTAGGCATCCATGTCAGGAGGATAAAAGTTCCCCAATTATGGCAAAAGTGAGATTATTAGAGCCCAAACAGGAGCTTTTGATAAAATTAATCGCCATGGAATGACCTTAACTGGTTCCTTTGATATGCGGCCTCCCATGATTAGTTTCTTTTCTTCATTACTAAGCTCTGGGTCTTCATTCGGGGAGCTATATGCCTGAGAACCAACCACAAAAGCGGCAGAATTAAAGAATTTTCAAAGGGAGTACCAACTACCAAGGGCTGAGATCCATATGAAAATACATTAATTCAACCACTTCCCTTCTTCTATGCATAGAGTATCCAAAACTACTTGCTTGGAGTGTGTGATCTTTAGTGAAAAATGTAAGCTTGGAAGTCACAAACATTTAGTAATAACGGGGGAAGAAATGGATGGACTTCTAACATATTTCATAGGACCATGGTATTAACAGGTTCAGTTTGTTTTGACTTCATATCAAGCATCATTCACAGCCCAATCATTTATAAATGACTCCAGAAGAAACATTTTTATGTTGACTCTTTTAATATATTCTGAATAAAAGCTAAGGGAATCAGCGACACTTTTTTTAGCCATAGAGCAAACCAGATGCTTCCAAGGGAGCCAAATGAGTAGAAAACAGATGGCCACCCAAACTTGTGGATTAAGATAGGGGAGAAAGCCAGCCCAGTAACAGAACCAAGATACATGCCGCTGTATACAAGTGCAAGTGATCTACTTCTCTCTGACACTGGAATCCACTTAGAAAGTAGGTTGTTCATTGCTGGCATAGCCACACCCTGTAAAGAAAATAGATAAAATAGATGAGAATCCTTGCGTTCTCTTTCTGGGACGTTTGGAACTGTTGGCTCGATGGATATTGTTATGGAGTTATATAGTAAAAAACTTTAATCCTACTCTAATCCTTTAAACATGACGAATTTAATTTATTTTTCTTATCATCCTTTCATCTACATTACTAGAAAACTCTACTTTCTTAGCCAGTTAGTACAGATAAAATGGCTGCTTCAGTAAGCGTGTGAATTTTGGAGGTAGTTTGGTGATTAACCACATGTCACTACAGGATAAATATTAAAAAACAACAAGCGGAGCAGCGCCTACCTCACCAATTCCCATAAAAGCACGCATAGTAAGCAAAAATGGAAGTCCAATTTTTGCAGCAATAGGTGTCAAAATTGTAGCTACTGACCACCAGACAACTCCAAAACCCAGGACTAGCTTTCCACCTATTTTATCTGCCCATATGCCTCCAATAATCTGTATGTTAAAAGAAAATATCAGATTGAAAAGATTAGAGAATTTCTGGTATCAACAAACAATGAAAGAAAACAACATAGATGTTACAGCATGCATCAACTTTGGTTCAAATATGCATAATACTAGAACTCGACACATTATATGCCAATGTAATGGACATCCTCCGGAAACTAAATAATTCTGCATATTTTAAAGTGTTGGAACCACACCTGAGTGAGTAGATAGCCCCAGAAAAAAGAAGACTGAATCAAACCAACTGTTGCACTGTTCCAGTTAAACTCTTTTGACATGGGGAGTATAGCAATGCTCATGTTGACCTGCAAAAGGAATATAAAACAAACAGTTAAGTCATCATGCATGTAGAATTGTACAGTAGTGCTAATGCTTATGAAGAGAATACTCACACGGTCCATATTGCATACAAAATGCAGCAAAACAGAGCAGTACAACAACCCATCGCTTCGGAAAATTCTGCCACCAAGGGATATCTCGTTCAATTAGAATAGCTTCAATGGTTTCGTCACGAGACGGCAAAGAGTCCAACTTCCCTTCTGTTATGTCATACTCCTCAGATTTATAGAAAGCCCAAGTCCTGTTTTTTCCTACTTTGTCCTTGTCACATGGCCCAAGCCAACCACCGGGCGAGTTTGAAAAACAATAGCATGCAAAATTTCCTCTTCTTCTTTTTTGAGAACAAACTCTACGAGA